TCGTTTGCAACATGCAATGATAACATAGTAATAACAAGAGCTAACAGGCATGGATCATGTATTACGTTTGGGTCCTGTCCTCTACATGCCTTTTCACACTTTCAACACTACATGTACAGTAGGTCCCGTCACTATCCCCCATTTTACAGATGAGGAAACTGAGGCACAAACAGAGTAAACACAGGCAGCCCAGCCTTCCTCTCTCACAGGGTTTGTGGGAGGCCTAAACCACATCAAGCTTGGCACCGGGGTGAAGATGGTGGGTAGGACCCCCAAAGGTGCAGGAGATGGAAGGGTCTGGCTAGAGTCAGGAGACGGAAGCGGCTGATGCCAGAGGCTAGAGGTGAGGGTCCAGCGCAGGCTCAAGGCCTGCAGGTGTGGGAGAGCCCCACCTCCCGGGAAGGCAGCGCCTGGCAGGGGGAGGGGGCGCCGCCCCAGAGTTGCTGCTTTCTTTCAGCTCTAGGAGCTATAACAAGAAGCTGAGCAAAGACATCTTGTTGTCTGATAGGAAATTATATAGTGAAGAGAACCAAGAAGTGTTAAAGAACACCCTTCTCAATGCCATGATAAAACCGGAACCAGACTTATTCAGCCCACCTGTGAGTAGCAAAGCAGCATCCACAAACAACCAGGAAGAGGGCCAGGCCCTCGGAGGATCGTGAATGGAGTTGACCGGCTGAGGATGGGGCCAGGAATTTCAAGCTGCAAATTCTGGGCCAAGTTCAGCTTCGGGGGCAGGGTCAGCCCTACTCCGAGGTTAGCCCTGGAGATCCAAAAAATAGCTCTTCTGCGGGGAGCTAAGGTGTGATTAATTCTAATAAAGGTATCGTGTTAGACTTGAGATGGCTTGGCCCAATTGGCTTTGGAGAACCTGGAGACCCTGGCCCAATGGATGGTGGGTCGGAAAGGCTCATCCAGAGCCCTTACTGTCTTTAGATACTCCTTGGGGACAACAAGGAGCTCCCTGGAAGGGGTGTGGGGTGGGCCGTGTCTGTGAGGGCCAGGGGTGGGCCAGGGCAAGACTGCACCTGCACCTTGCCACGTCCTCTAGCCCAGGCCTCTGCTAGTGTGAGTGTGCTTCCCACTCCAGTGCAGGCCGAGGATACATTTTGGTCCCACCAGGTGCACCTGTCAAGACAGGGCTGGGATGTGAAGGAACAATGAGAACTCCCATCTGCACTATCACATTGAACTTTCCCTCCCTCCCTCCCTTCTTCTCCCTCCCTCCCTGTCCCATATAATAGCCCCTAGTCAGATACAGCCACTGGGGGCTTGAAAGGTCAAGGGTTGGAATTGTGATATGCTATGAGTAAACACGAGATTTTAGTACAGTACAAAAACAAAACAAGACATTTTTTATTATATATATATATATATATATATATATATATATATATATATATAGCTAATATGCAAAGTGTCCCTTTGGGAGTTTGACTGGGAGACTGGGAGTTCAATCACTTGCCATGATGTTCATGACCACCAGGGGGCAGCACAGAACATGGTGGGCAACTGGAGGCATGGCAGGACACTGAGGGAAGAAGGGGAGGAGGAGGCAGGAAGGAAGGGAGGCAGGGAGGTAGGGAGGCTTATCAGCCCTGAGTGTTGGCCAGGCCTAGGGACCCTACCCATGTACAAATTTCGTGCACCAGGCCTCTAGTATGTAAGAATGATAACCTTTGGGATATATTGAGTTAATAAGATATTAACATTGGTTGCATCTGGGTGTTCTTTTAAGCGTTTAGAAATGGGACTGACAGAAAATTTAAAACTACCCGCGTGACTTGCATTTGTGGCCCACGTTCTATTTCTCCTATATAGCACTAGCCTAGAACCTTCCTTTTATTGGTCTCACACATCATTCTAATCACACTGGTTTGTTGGTGTAATACTGAAAGTGAAATGTCAAAATTGTATGAAGTTTCACTTGTCGATAAAGTATCCTATAGGCTCTGGCCAGGTAGCTCAATTGGTTAGAATGTCATCCCCATACACCAATGTTATAGGTTCGATCTCTTGTCAGGGAATACGTAAATAAGTGGAACAACAATGGTGCTTCTTTGTTTCTCCCTTCCTCTCTCTCTTTAGAGTAAATTAAAAAGAATTTCTTTTCAGTCTCTTAGAAAAACATTTAAGAATGTGCCCTTACCTCTGAGTATACCCCAAAGATGGTGGAAAGGATGTGTTCACCCTGTGCTTCCTATATAGTGTCTTGTATTTTGATTTCCTCTTTGACCCCAGATTACTTAAGAGGCCGGTTTAAAAGTCCTAAGCACCTTGAGATCCCCCTGTTATTACTGCTTGGTTGGCTGGTTTTCTTTTTCTTTTAGAACAAAAGTTAAAGGTTCATCAATACAGATTTGATTAAAATGAAGAAGTCACCTTCTAACCACCAATTTCTAAATCCCTCCCACAGATAGTTGTTAATAACTTTCCAGAACTTTCTTTTGTGTATACGGGGCTCCTGGATTTAATTATCTGCCTCAAACACTCATGTACTGGGGGGAAGACAGGCAGCAAGGGAGGAATGCTATAAACCAGAAAAATGGCCCTGGCTGGTATGGCTCAGTTGGGTGGAGCACCATACCATACACCAGAAGGTAGTGGGTTCAATTCCTGATCAGGCCACATGCCCAAGTTGTGGGTTTCATCTCCAATCTCCAGTCAGAGGCAACTGCCTACTCAATGTTTCTCTCACATCTCTGTTTCTCTCTCTCCCTGTATCTCTCCTCCCTGCCTCCCTGTCTCTGAGATCAATAAAAGTAATAACAATAAATAAAAACAGAAAAATGGAAGATATCCACAACCATATTTCATTTCCCTAAAATCAAATTAGCTTCTGAGGTGAGTACAAACACAATCACAGCAGAAGTACTCACACTTGGTAAAAATAACCACTCCCCCCCCCTCCTGCCGCCGATAGAATTCTTTGGAATCTGTTTTGCTTAAACATCAAAGTCCATCAAACTTTTCTTCAGGTTGAAAACAAACTCAGCTTTAAAAAATCTTAACCTCAGTTGCATGAGTGATTTATTTAACTGGACAGGACTCACCCTCCAACGTGGAGAAACAACTGTGATGTTGGCCCTGGGGCTATAGTTCAAACCTCTATCTTTTCAATGCATAACAGCGAAGATTGAATGGAAAGATGATTTGCTCATTTCTAGCATATTCCAAGATGAAATCTTTTATAAAATGTCAGACAGATATGTATAATAAATTAGCGTAAATTATAATTGGTTTGCCTACTTCTTTTCCTAATTTCTGATTATTTTTGCTTTAGTGATTTTTATCTTTGTCTTAGAAGTGTAAGGGATAGGAATTAAAGCTACCAATATACTTCTAACTTTTCTCTTATTTATTTATTTATTTATTTACTTAATATATTTTATTGATTTTTTTTTTTTTTTTTACAGAGAAGAAGAGAGAGGGATAGAGAGTTAGAAACATCGATGAAAGAGAAACATGGATCAGCTGCCTCTTGCACACCCCCTACAGGGGATGTGCCTGCAACCAAGGTATTAATACATGCCCTTGAACAGAATCAAACCTGGGATCTTTCAGTCCACAAATCGATGCTTACTCTATTGAGTGTCATCTCCTAGGAAGGTTCGTTTTTCCACGGGGTCCCATCAGGCCCCTCACGCATGGTCTCTTCCTGTGCCTTGACTCGCCTCTGCAGGTCCCTCTGGGGGTCTCCAGCTATCCTACTCTGGCATCCTTCCTAGGCAATCTCGGCCACTCCCATGGGGACCTGCTGCTCATTTCCAAACCACTGTCTTCAGCCACATAGCCAAGGGCTTGTTCACTGCCTCTACTCAGCCATCACAGGCTCCACAAACCTCCACGTCCTGACTAAGCTCACCTCCTCCCCCCAGGCTGCTTCTCCGCCCATGTTTCTTAACTCGGAGAACAGAGCTGCCCTCATTTGGGGGGCAGGGAGGGGGGAAATCGGGACTTTTTTAAAACGCTGCGGGACAAATTGTTAAAAATGGGGACTGTCCCGCCAAAAGCGGGACATCTGGTCACTTTACTGAGAAAGGAGCTTGAGAAAGAGCCGTGATGAGACAAGTGTGTATTGCCACCGGCCTTCTCAACAAGGCTGCCCAGCAAACTGTCTGGTTTAGTAGTTAAATGTGGATCCTGGAGGCAAACTCCCTGGCTCTGGGCCCAGCTCTGCTGTGATCTTGGGACTTGGGGCCAAGAGGAGGATCTGGGCAAGAGAGAGCAGGGCGACCAGAGCATTGCTTCTGGGGGCTGAGCACCTCACCTAGGAGGGTGTTTGCAGGGCTTCGGGGGAGAAGGCGGTCCCAGGAACAGAAGGACGAGATCAAGTGGGATGAGGGGAGGAGAAGGCGTCCCCAGCTCCAGGAGAAAAGGGTGTGTGTCTAATCTCAGTTCTCTCTCCCCCTTCTGGGCGCCCTGGCGCATCAGGAGTTCTGGTTTGAGATACAGAGGCGGACTGTGGCATATGGGGAAACACTCCGATTGGCTGGGCCAGGACAGAGCCTGCTGGAGCTCCCCTGAAGCACCCCGGGGCACACTTCCCTGCGCCCCCTGAGTCACCCCCATGAGAGGGCATCTGTTCCAGTACCCAAGGCCTCCAGGCCGACGGCCACCGGAGACCGGCAGGGGCAAGCTGGCTTGAAGCTGGATGGGGAAGAGGGACGGGGGGGGGGGGGGTGGGGGGTGGGGGGTGGTGGTGCGGGCGGATTGCGTTGCGCAGAGCGCGCCTGTCCCGTGTGCAGCCCAGGGTCAAAGTCCCAGCGCCCCAGCCCCGGCCCGCGCGCGTCCGTGCCCCCGCCGCCCGGCAGGCGGAGCCAGAGCACAGCCGGCGGGGGGCTGGGTCCCGGAGTCCGGCGGGCGGGCGGGGCGGGGCGGGACGAGGGGCGGCCCCGGCGGCCCTGGGCGTTGGAGTTCGGCGGCAGCCACGCCGCGGGAAGGAAGGACGGACGGAGGGGCGGAGGGACGGAGGGGCGGGCGCCGGAGCCTCCGCAGCCATGGCCGAGCCCGCCGCGCGCCTCTGCTGCCTGGGCTGGGACTTCAGCACGCAGCAGGTACTGCCTCCGCCGCCGCCTCCGCCTGCCCGCGCCTAGGTGGGCACCCCGGTGCGGCGGGGAACACCTGGGCCGAGCCGTGCGCGTGCCTCCCTCTCGGACTTCTTGGGACCTTGCCTAAGTCCCCCCCCCCCCCCCCTTCCAACCCTCTAAACCTCGATCACAAGACGACGACAGCGATCGGGCCGGCCCCCCGCCCTCCCGGAAACCGCGCCCTCCTCCCCCGCGGCGGGACCCTGGGGCGCGCGCTGGCGATGTGCCCGGGACCCTGGGGGCGCGGCGGGCCCGCGTGCCTGGCGGCCACCAAGTGACAGGCCCCCCGAGGTGCTCAGCTAGTGTGAGATGGGGGGACAGACGGACCCAGGTGAGCACACAGGCATAACCGTGACCTGGAACCAGATGACCGCTTGAATTTATTTATTTATTTATTTATTTATTTATTTATTTATTTGTGTGAAATGGAACAGTGTACTCTGAACTTTGTTCCACCCTTGGTTGGCACCAGCCTGGCCGGGTCAGCATGCCCAGCCGAGGTGACACAGGACGGGCTATGCAGTCCCCAGGTTGAACCCCACGGACCCCACGGACAGACAGGCAGTCGTCAAAATTGGCCCAAGGCGCCCCTTTTTTTACTTGGGGGGTCAGCACCGTTGTAGTCAAACCTCTCTTCTCAGAAGGACCAGGGAGGCAGACCAAGCTGTGAGCAGAAAGTCTTGTGGGCCCCTGGGTAAGGCCGGTTGCATTGCAAGGCCTCGGTTTCCCCATCTGACTGGGAAAGGAATTGTCCCCCTGGGTTTGGAGGTCTGCTGCTTTGGGACGTTGTGCGTCTCTGGACCACGGCCATGCCCTAGGCCCTATGGGAACAGCGCAGGGGCCTTGCCTGGCCTCTCAGATCCCTGCAGACATGGTCCCCCAGAGGCAGCTCCAAACCCTTCTCCTCTAGGGCTTCCTCTGGCCTCCTGGCCAGGAACCAGCCCATCTCTGAACGTTTGAGAGGGTCTTGGCTTTGAGTGTTGGGTGTTTCCACTCAGTCTCAGCTTCTTTTTTTCGTGCTAAATAAATCTTTGGGCCTGGCCCTAGATGAGGCTCATGGCTACGCCAATGGTTGCCATGGTTACGACAATGCACCCCAGCCTTCCAGGAGGTCTCCAGGTTGAACCGCTCAGGTCACCTGATGCAGTTTGTCCCTGAACCCGTGTAGCAGCTGAGGAAGGTTCTCTGCCCCATCTTTTCCAATGCTTTGCAGGTGAAAGTGGTTGCTGTGGATGCAGCGATGAATGTCTTTTATGAGGACAGTGTGCATTTTGACAGAGACCTCCCAGAGTTTGGGTATGTACCTCATGTGCATATTTCTCTGTGAGGGGGGGTATTGGTTTTTTTTTGTGGCCCCACTCAACCTTTAACCTCCATAAACATACTATCTGGCTGTATCCAACTGCAGGAATTGTGGTCTTCAGCACCCTTTTTCTATGCCTAGAATGTTCCCTCCTCCATTCCTTTGCAGTTCATTCATTCATCCATTCATTCATGCACTCATGCATGCATGCAGTAGGTACCAATTGAGACTTTGCTTCAGGTACTGTGCTGGGTCTGAGGATTTTATATAAAGGGAGTCATAATTATATACTCTTTTTTTTAATCTGACATTTTCATTCAATATAATCATTTTGGGATTCATCCATGTTTATCAGTAGTTTGTTCTTTTTAAAAATATATATATTTTATTGATTTTTTACAGAGAGGAAGGGAGAGGGAGAGAGAGGTAGAAACATCAATCAGCTGCCTCCTGCACACTCTCTACTGGGTATGTGCCTGCAACCAAGGTACATGCTCTTGACTGGAATCAAACCTGGGACCCTTGAGTCAGCAGGCCGACACTCTATCCACTGAGCCACACTGGATAGGGCTGTAGTTTGTTCTTTTGATTGCTCAGTAGTATTCATTGTATGAATGGATCACAACTCGTTTATCCATTCACTAGATGAGAGGTATTTGGGTTGTTTCCAGTTTTGTACAATTATAAATAAGGAGGCTATGAAATTCACATACAAGTCTTGGTGTTGACATAAGCTTTCATTTCTCTTGGGAATTAAATACCCGGAAACGGCTAAGTTGTATGGTAGGTATATGTCTAACTTTTTAAGCAATTGCCAGCTCTCTTCCAAAGTGGTTGTTTTAATAAAACTGTTTTGTTAATAGGCATTACATATATTGGTATATCTTTCAAAAGAAACAAAAGGCCTACATTGAAAAGTTTTAATACCCCTATGATCTCATCTCTTCCCTTCTGGCTTCCTCTACTTCTTTAGTTAGTTTTTTTTTTTGTATCCTTCCAGAGTTTCATATGGAAATATTAGCAGATAAGAATACTCTTATTTTCTTCCTTTCTTACACACACAAAAAACACCACATGTAGCATTCTGTGCTTTGCTTTAGTCATTTCACAATCACGTGGCTGTGTTTTTCGTGTCATTATGTGGAACTGCTTTGTTCTTTTTATGGATGTACTAGAGGCCCCGTGCATGAAATTTGTGCGGAGTGAGGGGAGGGGAGGAATGTCCCTCAGCCCAGCCTGCACCCTCTCCAGTGGTTGGGAGCCCTTGAAGGATGTCTGACCTACTGAGAGCGGGCCTAAACCGGCAGTTGGACATCCCTCACAATCCAGGACTGCTGGCTCCCAACCACTTGCCTGTCTTTGCCTGATTGCCCCCAATCGTTTCTGCCTGCCAGCCTGATCACCCCCTAACCACTCCACTGCCAGCCTGATTGACACCTAACTGCTCCCCGGCCAGCTCAATTACCCCCAACTGCCCTCCACTGGCAGGCCTGATCCCCCACAACTGCCCTCCCCTGAGGCCAGGTCCCTCCCAACTGCTCTCTCTTACTGGCCTGGTCCCCCCAATTGCCCTCCACTACAGGCCTCATCCCCCCCAACTGCCCTCCCTTGCAGGCTTGGGTCCCCCCCAACTACCTTCCTCTACATGTCTAGGTTCCCCCCAACTGCCCTCCCTTGCTGACCTGGTCTCCCTCAACTGTTCTCTGCCATCTTGGTCATCCTTAACTGCCCACAGCTGCCCTCTCCTGGCAGCCATCTTGTGTCTTGGTGTGAGGGTCAATTTGCATATCACTTGTATTAGATAGGATAATATTCCATTGGGTAAATTTACCATCTCCTATGTAAGGATATTGGGTTGTTAGCAATGAAAAATGATGTAGTGAATTACCTACATATGTAAGGTAAAATTTTGGAAATAGGATTGCATATTACTTTTTTATTATAATAGATAAGATGGGGTCCTTTTCCCACCTGTTGATTTTAACCAGTAGAACATGGGGGAGGTAACATTGTGCCAGTCCTAACCCCAACTCTTGGTAGGCTTTGTGTGCATCTCTTCTCATTCTTGGAATCCTATACCACCACCGCATGAACAAGCTCAGGCTAGACTTGCTGGAGATTGAGGGACCTGTGGCCTCATTGCCCTCATATCCCCAGCTAAGAGAAGCAGAATTCAGCCTCCAAAAGCAGAGCCCTCTAGCTACAGTGAACTGACCCCAGAGGCATGAGTGAGACCAGAAGAACCAACCAGCTGAACTCAGCCCAGCCACTGACCAACAGAAGTGTGAGCTAAGTAGTTTCAAGCCAGTATGTTTTGAAGTGGTTTGTGATGAGGCAAAAAGCACCCGGTGCACATAGTTATTTTAAATCTTATTTCTAACTCCTTTATCATTTTGGATGAGGGTCTTGCAGGGGTGAGGAGGAGAGGGAGAGGGTTCCAGGTAACCTTCCACAGATTGTAATCCAAGGACCCGGTCTGATAGCCGAGAAATTTTCTCACAGATGCAGCACTTTCTGTAGCCTCACCTTGCCCCTCTCCAAATGCCATGGATTTGGGGGGACTTCTCCTCCAACCCCGTGCTCCCCCAGTCCCTTCTTGGTCAATGCACCAAGTGACTCCAGTGCCTGCCTTCCAAGGCTGGCTTTTGCTGGTGCTTTCTGAGAATTGCCACTCTGGGCAATTTTCATGATTTCTCTTCCCATCTCAGCATTCGTGCCTGTTCAACCTCTTAAGGTTGGAGGAGGGGGCATGTCTGCCTCCATGGGAGTTATCCAGGATCTGCTACTGCTGGGCCCCTGCCCCAGTTCTGTCCCTCATTCTTTCTTGTTCTCCTTGTAGGACTCAGGGTGGGGTTCATGTTCACCAGGATGGTCTGACAGTGACTTCTCCAGTCCTGATGTGGGTCCAGGTAAGCACAGGGATCCCTGTCTCTCTCCTGTCCCCAGCCTGCCTGACCAGCAGACCTGGTGATTGGCTAGGAAGCCCAAAGGTGGCAAGTCCTGCTGGGGAACTGGAGGCCATATGGTTCCCAGGGTCAGGCTCAGCCTCCGCTGGTGTCAGCACTGAGCTGAGAGGACTCTCACAGGGCTTCTGGGTGCGGGAGCCATAGCAGCTGGGAAGTCCAGCCAGTCTCCATTTTCCAAATACCACAGAGTAGACCTTTCCAAATACTCAGGCCCCAAGACCACCCTTACACGCTGAGATCCACACACAGCCTTGGGTTCTGAGTCCTCAGTCCCTAGACCCCTCCTCTCCCAGAATGGTGGCTGGCGACCTGCCCCATCAGGTTCCAGCAGGCCTGCCCACTCAGGACCAATGAGAAGGGAAGGTGCCTGTTGCCAGAGCCAGGTGACCCATAGGGCCACAGGACCGAGGGTGTGGACCGCACAGACAGGTGGGATAGGGCTGGGAGCTGCCTGATATGCCACAGGGGACGCAAAGCCCCGAAATGGGAGGCCAGCCAAAGGCAGAACGGAAGGTGTTTGCCCAAAGCTTTTCCAGTCCTGCAATAGCTGTTTAACCGAATTCCTGTAGGAGATTCTTTCTGTTGAGATAACTAGTCTGATTTCTTATGTATCAGCCTGACCCTGACTCATCCTGGAGGACTGGGGTCCCAGATGAATTTCCACCAGGCAGGCTGGCCAGAACGTGCTGCAGAGGGCTGAGCCAGACCGCGGGGCAGTGGTGGAGGGGTTGGGGGTGACGGGCCTTGATTTGGGGGTGAGCAGCGGGTAGAGAGCCAGGCTTGGGGTTGGGGCCAGGGTTGTTTCTCATTATGAGCAGCCTTTAAGATTGGACAATTTCTAGATTTGCCCACCCTTGCTCCAGCGGTACCACACCCCCTGCAGGAGGTTGGCAGGTGGCGTTAGAGTGGACAGCCACAGCCAGGCTTGTGGAAGGAGTCCTCCCTGCCCTGGGCAGGATGGCAGGGTCAGCGGGAAGCTCAGGTGGCTTCTCCGCCCACAAGGAAATCCCTGCCTGTGCTGACTCTCTAATTCTTTTTTTTTTTTTTTTTTTTTAATATATTTTATTGATTTTCCACAGAGAGGATGGGAGAGGGATAGATAGCTAGAAATGTCGATGAGAGAGAAACATCAACCAGCTGCCTCCTGCACACCCCCCACTGGGGATGTGCCCGCAACCAATGTACATGCCCTTGACCAGAATCGAACCCGGGACCTTTCAGTCCACAGACCACCGCTCTATCCACTGAGCCAAACTGGTTTTGGAGACTCTCTAATTCTTGCTATGCAGTCTTAGGGGACGTGTTGAGCACTGCTGGGCACTGCCGTCTGTGCTCCCAGGGGGTCTTGCTAGAGAGAAGATGCTAACTGGATGGTGGATGGTGAAGGGTTGGGATAAATGGCCACCCCCTTCCTGCTGTCTCTCCAGCCTGGACATGGGGACACTGGGAGCCCTCTGCTTTGCTTTTCACTTCTCCATTTCAGTGAAGTGACGTCATTAATATCATGGGTTGAAAACACAAATAAAATTTGAGCCGTCTTCCTCTCTTCCTGAGTGCTTTGACGTCACATGTCAGAGAGGCAGAATTTAAGGATAAGTCATTAGTCCTTCCATTTTTCAAAAATAGTTTCAGCCTAGCCCTGGCCAGGTGGCTCAGTCGGTTGGAACATCACGCTATACCTCCAAAGGTTGCGGGCTTGATTCCAGGTCTGGGCACATCCCTAGGTTACAGGTTTGATCCCTGGTCGGGGCGCTTACCGGTCACTGTTTCTCTCACATCGATGGTTCTCTCTCATTCATTGTATCGGTTCCTTCCTCGTCACCTCCACTGTGATGGCAAGCCCTGCGCGGTGAGCTCTGAGGCTCGTGCGGTTGTGTGTTTCCGTGGATCAGCGCAGTCACGGTGCATTCTGTGTTTCTCCTCAGGCTTTGGACATCATCTTGGAGAAGATGAAGGCTTTGGGCTTCGACTTCTCTCGCGTCCTCGCCTTGTCCGGGGCCGGCCAGGTTTGTGTGCAGCAGCACGCATGCATGCACGGACCACGCGAGGGCAGCTGTCTTGGGCAGCGGAGCTGGGGGCGAGGTGCCCGCTTCCCGAGAGGGATGGCGCTCATGCTTGAGACCCCTTGAGCACACCTTGTTGTTGTAGAAGCCCCTCCAGCTGCTTTGCCTTGGACGGTAGATGGCCTGGCTCCTCGCAGAAAGATCGGAGACAGTTCTTACGATTGCTCATTGCGTGTAATAGTGTTACGCCCAGACTTCGTGATCCCCAAGGACCACCAGGGAGCCGAGTCCGATGCAATAACAACAAAAGAGCCTTTTCCATGCTAGCATGGGCTCTGTCCCACTCACGCCGGCAGCATGGCGGAAGTGAGAGCGAATTTCGCCCAGTCCAGGGGTTTTACTCCGGTCGGTGGTGATGTCACTGCCTTGGTTAACCCTGATTGGGCTGGGTCCAGTTACAAAATGGAGGATAACTTCCCCCTGCCCCACAGTGGAGTCAGAAGCTCATCCTCGCCCCGCCCCGCCCCCTCAATAGGACGGTGGGCGAGGAGGCATGCGGGGATGGAAGGGTTGCGTGAATTGGTGATGACTGGGGCACTAACATGGCTTTTCTGTTTCCTGGTCGCAAAACCAAAGTCAGGAATGACACCAACAACCGTCGCCGTGTTAGTGGTAGGGATGCTACGGCTGCTGCTACCAGCGAAGGTGTGCTGGCCGCAGTGCTGAGCCTTGGAGATAAGTTCCCTGAGTCCTCGTAGCATTCCCACGAGGTGGGGTCACGGAGTGGTCAGCACGGGGGTTCTGGCACGTTGCCTGGTCCGATCCCCAGCTCTGCCTTTTTCGGCGGTGACCCGGGTCACGCCAGCCAGCCCTCTGCAGCCTCCTTACCCCCATCTGTCACAGGCTCAGTGTGTGCGTTAAATGTGTAAAATGTAACAGTGCCCAAGTATGTAACGTCCTTAAGCTTGAACTACTTTTTTTTTTTTAATGTATTTTTATTGATTTTAGAGAAGAAGGGAGAGAGAGAAATATCAATGATGAAAGAGAGCCATTGATCAGTTGCCTCACGCACCCCCCTCTCTGGGGCTGGAGCCCGCAATCTGGGCATGTGCCATAACCTGTAATCAAACCTTCCTCCGGTGTCATCTTCCCACCCCCACATCCAGGGGTTCCCACGTTGCTTTGTACACGACTCTTGAATCTGCCACCGCTTCTCCGACTCTCCCGTGGCCCAGGCCTATGCCATCGTTTTCCTCCGGGCTTCGGCTCCAGCCTCCCTCCCTGCAGCCCACCTTCTTCCAGGTTCCCGTGGGCCCGTTCCTACAGTCAGCCGTGCCACAGCCGCTAATCCAGAGTCCCCACAGCTCCAGGACAAACCCCAACTTTCTGGGCCTGGGCATCGATCGAGGCCCTGATGCTTCCACCTTCCCCTCCCAGCCTCGTCACCCACCTCCTGTGCCAGCTTCAGGCCCTCCTGCCCCAGCTTCAGGCCTTCTACTTAGAATGCTACCCTTCCCTCCTGTCTGCTCCCACAGCCCTGCCTGCACCTCCAAGGGTTTCCTGATTATACATGTGTGTCTTTTCTCCTGACTCATCTTCGGCATCCTGTAGCATAGGGACAACACTGCCCTACTCCTCTGTCCTATGCCGGGCATGATCCAGCTGCTCAGTGTTAGTGGGAGGAATGGATGGGTAAACAGGGATGGGGGAATGTCTGGCCGTAGAAGGCCCGAGAAATCATTTGGTCGGCCTCTGCCAAGGCGTTCAGGGTGAGTTAATGAATGATCGGCTCAACAGAGCAGGCTAATTTTTAAGTTGATAATTTTGTGTGGCCTGAGAATGAGGTTATAAATATCCAAATGGCCCCTGGCAGGAAACAAAGGCTCCCCCACCCCTGGAAATGAATGAGTGAATGAGTGAATTTCAGGTGATATTATGAGCAACCTGTTTCAGTCCAGTTTTGCCAAAAGCACCAATATCCAGATGGATGGTTCCTTCTTGGATTCTTCCTGCAAGGTGTGAGGTGGGCGGGTCAGAGCAAGGTGTGAGGTGGGCGGGGCAGAGCTCCCCCTCCACCACCCCCATTGTGTAGACAGGGAAACCGAGTGAGTCTCCTGAGGAGAATGAGCTCTGTGGCTGAGGGGGACGGGCTGGCCTGGAGCCCAGGTCTTTGCGGGGGTCCGGGGTCTCTCTGTGCTCTCTGTGTCTCCTGAAGGCTGTAACATCACTGTGTGGCCTAATGAGCGTGCACTTGGCTTTCCCTGGACAGCAACATGGCAGTGTATACTGGAAAGCTGGGGCCCACCAGGTGCTGACAGGTCTGTCCCCAGGCCTCCCGTTACACCAGCAGCTGCAGGTAACTGGCCAGGATGGGGGAGTCAGAGAACCGTCTCTAGAGGGGAGAGGAAGGCCCTGAGGTGTGAGGCTTTGGGCATCGTCGGGGTGTGGGAGGCAGCTTGGGTGGTGGTCCTGTGAGTAAGGTCTGCCCTGCCCCCCTCCCCCCTGCGGTGGGCATACCTGGTGTCTGGACAAAGGGTCAGGTGCTCGCAGCCCTCATCACCTCGGGCCCCTTCTGCCCAGCCTGCCTGGCTCATGGCCCCCTGGGACTCTCCTCTTGGTGCAGGAGGCCTCCTGATGCCAGAAGGCTAGCTCTGGCGTCTCCTCTCTTCCCAGGCTCCGGGGGCCCTGGCAGGATGGCACGAGTCCTTGCCTGGCCACGTGTGGCACTCGGGCATCCTCCCCAGAACCTTCAACCTTGAGCTTTCGGGAGAGATCCCAGCGGGCCAGGCTGAGGAGTGGGCGTGACGGGCTTGCCCGTGGGTCTCCCAAGGTCACCTCCAGGGAAGAGGCGCTCACCCAGGGCAGGACGACCAGCGGTCCCAGGACCAGCAGGCAGAGCCCAAGCCTGAGCCCTGGCCCCTTCTCCACAGGCCTGTTTCTCCGTCCGTGACTGCCCGGTGTGGATGGACTCCAGCACCACAGCCCAGTGCCGCCGGCTGGAGGCCGCCGTGGGTGGGGCCCAGGCTCTCAGCCGCCTCACCGGCTCCCGTGCCTACGAGGTGGGCAGGGCTCCCCTGGGGCTGGGGCTGGGGCTGGGCTGGGGCTGGGAGGAAGGTCTGGGAGCTGGCTCCGGTCCCTTTTCTCTGGGTGTCTGGGAGGACACAGCTGGTGGCCGGCCCCTGAGGGGATCCCATGAGGCTGTGTGGGGTCACAGAGGAGCCAGGACTGGGCACTCTGGCCCCTGGTTCCCATCAAGGCCGTCCTGCCCCCTTGTGCAGCCCATCGCGCAAGGCCAGGCCTCCCTGTGTGCTCCCAGCTGTGAACATGGCTGTGCTCCTCACACAGGTGACGATGCGCCCAGCTTCCAGCCTCTCCGATTTAGGTTTTGGGTAGTTTTGAAGGTGAAAGGACTCTGTGCATGTAAGACAATACAGTTCCTGCCAAAGTGAAAAAGATAAAAATTAAAAGAGGGCCTGTTTCCTGCTGGCCTCAGCCAAGATCCCACCCTATCATGGGTGGCTGTCACTGGCCCAGCCCCAGGTCGGGTCATGCGACTCTCGCTGGAGTACAGGTTTTGGGGACAGGGCCAACCCCACCGGGGCCCCCTGAAGTCAGAAGGATGTGGGTGGGGAAGGTACTCCCGCGCCTGCCGCTCAGGGGTCCGTGAGCAGAGCAGGCCTTCCTGGGTGCCAGTCCCGGGCGAGGCTTTGTCGCTCAGGTGGTCAGCAGGTGCCACGCACTCCTGAGGCCTCTGTGAAGTCTTCACGTGATGGCGGATCTCTGGAGCATGGAGTTGCTCATTCCACGTAGGATCTGGGTTTTTAAGTATTTGCCATCTTTTTCCAGCGATTTACTGGAAACCAAATTGCCAAGATTTACCAGCAGAACCCCGAGGCCTACGCACTCACAGAGGTTGGTTAAACGTACCTACTTGATTGATAGTCACACTTGAACTCCTTTTCTAACTCTTACCTTTCACAGAGATACAGCTCGTGTGCATTGGTGGGGGGAAAAAACCCCACACATTAGCCCTTAGCTGGTTTGCCTCACTGGATAGAGCGTCGGCCTGGGGACTGAAGGGTCCCAGGTTTGATTCCGGCCAAGGGCATGTACCTTGGTTGCGGGCACATCCCCAGTAAGGGGTGTGCAGGAGGCAGCTGATTGATGCTTCTTTCTCATCGACGTTTCTAACTCTATCCCTCTCCCTTCCTCTCTAAAAAAAAAATCAATAAAATATAGTGAGAGAGAGCAAAAAAAAAAGAAAAAGAAAAAACCCCACATGGATTAGCAGACATTATAAGTGATATATTCTCCTTGCTGCTCTTTCTCATTTGGAAATAATTTGCTTGTTTCCAAAGAGGAGGGAAAGAATGCAGTCGTGGGAAAGAAAAGCCAGGGGCAGTCCTGCTCAGAAGGGGTGGAGGTCAGGGTCAGGCGGGAGCCTCAGGGACTGCTGTCTTCCTGGGACCACCCAAGTAAGACCTCTGGTGCCCTTTAGGCTCCATCCACTCGGTCTCCCGAATGCTCGATGCAGCATGGCTGCCAGGCTCTTGGTTGGCGTGGGGTCAGTGTTTTCTTAGGAAGTTGCTAAAGTTGGCCTGATGTCCAACTGTGGCCCTTCAACCTGAGCCCGTGTCCCAGGGCACCCAGATCTGTTCCTTGAGCCACAGTCGCCGAAAGACCACACTTCAGGCTGCCTGAGAAGCAGCTTGACACCCTTCACTAGTGGCTCCCATTTGAGGAATTAGAGAATGGTCAGCTCATGTCAAACCAAAGGGCCTTTTAAAAAAAAATCTATATATATAAAAGCCTAAGTGTCCGACCAGTAGCTCTGATGCCCACTGACCACCAGGAGGCAGATGCTCAACGCAGGAGCTGCCGAAGCTGCTGTAACTTGGCAACTGCACTTCTCAGGTAACATACCCGGAACCAGAGAGGAGGGAGCACGATTCCAGGGTGTGTCACCCAAAAACTGCCCTCTCGCAATCCCCTCAGGAGATGTCAGAGAGCTAGTTTTGGTCTGATCCCGCAGGACCTCACCAGTTGCATGAATCCGTGCACTGGGCCTCTAGTGTGTGTGTGTGTGTGTGTGTGTGTGTGTGTGTGTTTGTTTATTTTATTTATTTATTTATTTATTTATTTTTAATTGATTTCAGAGAGGAAGGAACAGGGAGAAAGAGATTAGGAACATCAATGATAAGAAAGAATCATTGATTGGCTGCCTCTTGCACATCCCCGACTGGGCATGTGCCCTGACCAGGAATCAAACCTTGACCTCCTGGTTCATAGTTTGATGCTCAACCACTGAGCCATGCTGGCTGGGCCCAACAGGCCTTTTTAACTTTGGAGATTAGCATCCAGTTTATATTATGAATGGTTCCAGATGACTTTGCAGCATCGGCCATGCCAGTTGTGGGCAGGGGTGAAAAACCCGCTCTGGATTCTGTGTGAAACACGGGACGGAGGTGGCCTGACGGGGGCAGGAGGTGTTGGCGTTCTCAGCCCTGGTCCAGGGGCCCGTGGTTCCTTTGTGGAGGCACAGACCCGCGAGCTGACATCTGAAACCTGCTACCCGCTCCTGCAGCTCCTGCCTGGGGTAGTCGAAAGCTTCCTAGGGGCATTCACGGATTCTTGCTCCGAACCCTCCAGCGTCTGTTTTGGGTCTGAGTCCTGTGGTCACACATCCCACTTCCCTTGCGGCGAGATACAGAGACCTCAGGAGAGGAGGCAGGACATTGGCACCACACTCCCGGGATGCCGGTGGAAAACCCGCTCCCCCGAGTGTGCCTGTCTCTGTTAAACGTGACAGCTGTGTGGACTGTCAGAAACAGGGGTGAGGTGCCACGGCCATTCCTGGGGCCTCTTTATCACAATATAAAGCTCTTCTCGTGTGTGTGCACGTGCGTGTGTGTGTGTGTGTGTGTGTGTGTGTGTGAGGTATTCAGTTGCTTTGAGCAGCGGTCGCTAACCGGGGGATCCTCGGACCTCTGGTGGTCCATGAGGTCCGAAAGGTTGGCAACCGCTGGCTTAGAATGCATGGAAGTGAGTCAGATCTCCGTTTCCTTCTCTTGCAGAGAATTTCCTTGGTCAGCAGTTTTGCCGCTTCCCTGTTCCTGGGGTCCTACTGCCCCATTGACTACAGTGACGGTAAGTGAGCCTGCGGAGGCCCGGGCGTGTGCCCGTGTGGAGGGCGTGAGCCTCGTCCACCTGGGCGGGGCGGGTCTTTTGGGCCTGTTGTCTGCCGGGAGCAGGGAAGGTGTTTGTGACTTTGCTGTCGGCCGATGACCAGAGCAGTTGGCTGCTGAAGACCAGGAATCTGGGAGCAGGTGAGCCGGGTGATTCCGGCTCAGGATCTCTCATGAGGGGGTGGTCCAGCTGGCGACCCTGGGCTGCAGCCATCTAACGGCACAATGGGCTGGAGGATCCAGGTTCACACACGTGCCTGTTGGTCAGAGGCCTCAGTTCCTGGCGGGTGGGGGCGGGGCTGTTGATGACATCCCAGCTGGATTCCCCCAGGAAGACGGACACCCTCATCTTGGAAGTGAAGTACCATCCCTTCTGCGCCAGACTACGGTCGCACAGACCCACCCAGGAGTGGGGAGGCGAGGACCTCACAGGCGTGAACACCAGGACGTGGGGGTGAACCGGGGCCCGTCTTGGAACCCGGCTCCCACGGAAGTCATTTATAGACGTTTTTGTCCACATTTGGGATAAGCTCCTGAGAGTTGTGAGCTTCTGGAATCTCAACCTGAACAAAGCCCAGCTGGCGTGGCTCAGTTGGTAGAGAGTCATCCCATGCACCAGGAGGTCACCGGTTCAATTCCCAGTCAGGGCACATGCCCAGGTTGCAGGCTCGATCCTCAGTGGGGGGCGTGCAGGAGGCTGCGGATCTATGTTTCTCTTTCATTGATGTTTCTGTCCCTTTTTCCCTCTCCCTTCCTCTCTCTGAAATCAGTCAAAACACATTTTAGAAAAACAAAAAAACAAACAAACAAACCTGAACAAAAACAAATGGGAATGGTACCCGGGAGGCAGGAAGGCTGGGAGGAGACACGGAAGGGCCCCCTGGGTGAGCCGAGGCTGCAGGAGTGACCAGAGGCAGGAGGAGGATGTGGAGCAGGAGCCCAGACCCAGGATAGTGGCTTCAGAGCAGCGTGGGTGCTCTCAGCCCCGGGAACCCAGCTGAAGTGTTCGAGGGCTGTGTGTTTCAGACATTACTCGAGTTTTCATGGGGATAAAAGGAGGTGATTAAGGAGTTCTCTCCCCACCTCCCAACTTCACTCACAGTCGGGAGAAGTAAAGGTTCCTACATCTAGTGGCGTAGAACTCAGAACAGCAGAACTCAGATCAGCAGAACTCAGCCGTGGACGAGCCTGGGTGTGCACCTGTGCTCCCAGAGTGCCACCATCCGCAGCCTCTGCTGGGACTTCCGCCCCGCTCACCTGCTCACACCTGCTCACCCGAGGAGTCACTCCCTAACATACCAGCTGCCTCTGTGGGCAGGTGACTCTGCCCCTGTCCCAGCCCCCTCTGTCGCCTCCACCTGGGCTCCGGTTCCATCCCCTCCCCCATCCCGAGGAAAGCCTCGGCAGAAATATATATTGATCGTGTCAGCAGAGACGAGGTGAGCTCAGGGATGAGCAGGAGGAGGGTTAGGGGAGTCTGAGCGCTCTCCCCGAAGTTCAAGTTCGAAGTGATTGGGAAGTGCCTGAGGGCTGGTCCACATCAGCAGCGGGCTACCTCTGAGGAGACACCTTGAACTTCAGGGGACACAGAGCAGTTCCTTGTCAACATCTTCCCCTTTAGGTCTCAGCCAGGTCCGGGAGCAGCAGCTTTCCAGGCTAGCCTGGGTGCAGGGCGGGTGGAGATGTGTGTTTCCAAGGGCCCCGCTGGCCGCTGGCTGGCTGGGCCCAGCGTGACCCAGACACGTGGTGTCTACATCCCGTGGGTCCGCCCGCCCTCCCAGATCTGTGCACTTTTGCACGATGTTTCTAATTCCTGTTTCCTGCCTCCCATAGGTTCTGGAATGAACTTGTTGCAGATCCAGGACAAAGTCTGGGCCCAGGCTTGCCTCGGTGCCTGTGCACCTCATTTAGAGGAGAAGCTTGGCCCCCCGGTGCCGTCATGCTCAGTGGTGGTAGGTCCTCTTTCGAGGGACGTGGCTCCTTTAAGAGCTGGAAGGGAACACACTTTTCTTCCCGGACACCAGGAAATCTCATCATTTATTTTAAACTTTCAGAACTAAAGTCAAGTCAGGGAAATGGGGGGCGGGAACGTTTTCTTTTCCTAACTGCTTTCTAAAGATTGTACAACTGTCTAGAGGGGTCCCTGCCCCCTGGTCCCACAGCAGCTCTTGGATGGTTGACATCTTATCTTTAGATGGTTGACATCTGCGTGTGTGTATCCAGTTATTCTTTTTAATGTTTATTCATTTAATTTAATTAATTTATTTTTTAATATATTTTTTTATTTTCTTACAGAGAGGAAGGGGGAGAGAGAGAGAGAGAGTTAGAACTATCGATGAGAGGGAATCATTGATCATCTGCCTCCTGCACACTCCCCACTAGGGATGTGCCTGCAACCAAAGTACATGCCCTTGACCGGAATCGAACCTGGGACCTTTCGGTCTGCAGGCCGATGCTCTATCCACTGAGCCAAACCGGTTAGGGCTGTTTATTCATTTTAAAGGGAGAGGAGGGGAGAGAGAAACATCTATGAGTTGTTGCACTTAACGTATGTATTCATTGGTGGTTATTATAAGTGCTCTGACCGGGAATGGAACCCCCAACCTTGGCGTATGGGCTTAATGCTCTAATCAACAGAACTCCCCTGCCAGGGCTGTCCAGCTGTTCTTACTCTGGTGTCTGGGCTGATGGGGTGAGCGTATAAGAGTTTGTCTGCTCCCCTGAGTCGGCGTACTGGTGTCCTCCTGCTATTTATTTGTTTCGTTTTTGTTTTGTTCGTTTTTAAATATATTTTATTGATTTTTTACAGAGAGGAAGAGAGAGAGAGATAGAGAGCTAGAAACGTCAATGAGAGAGAAACATCGACCAGCTGCCTCTTGCACACCCCCTACCGGGATATGCCCGCAACCAAGGTACATGCCCTTGACCGGAATTGAACCTGGGACCCTTCAGTCCGCAGACAGACGCTCTACCACTGAGCCAAAGCGGTTTCGGCTATTTGTTTTGTTTTAATGCTATACCCAGACTGTCAAGCTTCCATGACCTGCACAAGCTGCAGATGGGCTTGCTGTGGTGACCTTGACTTTCAAAATCAAGTGGTCTTCGCGGTGGAGGGGCGGCCTCATGTTTGTGGTTCCAGGGCTCCTCCAGCCTTTAGTGAACGGGAGGGGGCGTCCCCGGTTTGCCACAGGCAGTGATGCAGCTCCAGGCTGTGACCCGGGGCCTGTCAGTCCAGTGGCCGCGGGCGCACGCCATGCTGAGAAGGCTGCTGGGCCTCAGCAGAGCTGTGGCTTTTCCTCCTCAGGGGCCCGTTTCTTCCTACTACGTCCAGCGCTACGGATTTCCTCCGGATTGCAAGGTGGTGGCCTTCACGGGGGACAACCCCGGTGAGTCCCTGGGGGATCGCTCTCCGGGGACCTGCCTGGGTCCGTAGCCTGGCCTCTGTGAAGCCCTCAGGGGGGCGGGGGGGGCTCTACCTGGCTGTGGGCTCCTCTGCTGAAATCTGACTCCCTGGGCTTGCCCCACCTTGGCCCTGTCTGTCCTCAGGAGCCATGCAAGGCCACCTCCCCACCCAGGAGAAAACTGATCCATGATCAGAGAAGGCAGTCCTGCCCTGGCTGGTTTGGCTCAGTGGATAGAGGGCTGGCCTGCAGACTGAAGGGTCCCAGGTTCGATTCCGGCCAGGGCACATGCCTGGGTTGCAGGCTCAATCCCCAGTGGGGGACGTGCTGGAGGCAGCCAGTCAATGATTCTCTCTCATCATTGATGTTTCTCTCACTCTCTCCCTCCCCCTTCCTCTCTGAAATCAATAAAGAAATATACATCGAAAAAAAAAGGAAGGCCGTCCTGCCCACCGCTCCCAGCCCTGCCATTTCCGTTCCGGGCGAGACCTCTCACTTCCTCTAACCCTTCCTCTGGGACTTGGTTTTGAGGCCCTGCCCCGTCATTTGATCTGCATGGGGGGCTTATTCCTCATGCACACACCTTGTTTTCCTTCAAAATGAAAATAAATTCATCGAGTCTCCTTAGGAGCACGTGTGTGTTCTCATACCTGCTCTCGCAACCAGAGGACTGTCCGGGAGGATGCTGGCCCGCTTCTAACCCCTGATGTGTCTGCTTCTAGGCACATGGGAGCTGACATGACACGAAACTTCCTATCCTTTTCCTTGGGCTTTGGTTTCAGGGCGGTCCCTCCCTGAGTCTCCTCTTCCGGTTGCTGTTGCTTTAAGTAATACATGTTTTGCACCTTCATTAAAACAACATTAACAAGCAGACAGACTAACAAAAGCTTACGCTTTTTTTTTTCCCTTTTTTAAAATCGATTTTATTGATTTTACACAGAGAGGAATTGAGAGGGATAGAGAGTTAGAAATGTCGCTGAGAGAGATACATCGATCAGCTGGCTCCTGCACACCTCCCACTGGGGATGTGCCCGCAACCAAGGTACATGCCCTTGACCGGAATCGAACCCGGGACCCCTCAGTCTGCAGGCCCACACTCTGTCCATTGAGCCAGACCAGTCAGCGTACATCTGTCTTTTTCTGCCGTAGGTGTCCTGGTGTCTTGATCTGGCCCCCTCAGTTCTCGGCACCTCTGGGGGCCCCTGGCAGTGGGCGGGGAGTGTGGGCTCTCTAGGGAAGCGGTCCCAGCCCAGATCAAAGGCAGCCTCCACTCTCTCACCCCTGGGACCTCCTTTGGGGACCTCCTGAGGCCGCCGCTCACCCTGTTCCTACCTCTCCCCTTAACATGTGGGTTCAGGGAGGAGGGGGAGGCGGGATTGTCATTTGCTCCGTGGCTCCCAGGTGGCTAACCAGAGGCTCCCCTCCCATCCTCAGCGTCGCTGGCAGGCATGAGGCTGGAGGAAGGTGACATTGCGGTAAGGTGACTGCTCACGCCCGCAGGTGGAGCCAGTCCGTCTGCCCCGGGGGCCATGGTCGCTGCCTGTCAGAGGGCCTGTTGGTCCCAAAAAGGCAGCGGAGGGAGGGGACAGCGAGACCCGGGGCCTGCCCACACCTCCTCTCTCAGAAGGCCATTTGCCTTTGCCGCCGCCTCTGCCTGCCTTGACCGTGCCAGTCCTGGTGGGCATGGTGGCAGAGGCTCAGACATTGGGCCCGAGGACCTGAGGTCCCCAGATGAGAAAGGCAGACATTGGCCACGCCCTCCTGGGTTTCGTGGGAAGTCGCGTGGGAAACCATTCATCACCCACACCCTTAGCTAGACGCCGCTGCGGTACGTTCTAGAAAGTCAGCCCCCGGGATCCAGGACAGCCTGAGTCTGGGGAGCTGACCTCGGACGCCTGTGGTACGGGAGGGTCAGGAGAGGTTTCTCCCCTTGAGTGGCATTGACTCCGCGGCCTGCAGCACAAGGAGGGAAGCGATGGGGTCAGGGCGGTGGAGCTGGGCAAAGACGGGGTACTCACCCTGCCCATCTCTCCTCAGATCAGCCTGGGCACCAGTGACACCCTGTTCCTCTGGCTCCAGGAGCCCATGCCCGCCCTGGAAGGCCACATCTTCTGCAGCCCAGTCGACCCCCAGCACTACATGGCGCTGCTGTGGTAGGTTGGGTGGGGGAGGAAGGCGAGGCGGGCCAGGTGCCCCCATTGGGAGTCCCCCCTCCCCCAAGTTGTCCCACTGCGCAGGCTCTTGTGGGCAGCCGAGACCCCGGGACTCATTGGGGCCTGCTGACAGAGCTGGGTGGGGAAGAACCCAGGAGCTGGAGTCCCCCCCCAAACCCAGGTCCAAATCCCAGCCTTGCCACCCACACCTCCTGGGCGCCCAGCCTGCATGTGGCCTGGGGCAGAGGCCCTCGCATGTGAGGAGAAGGGAGCGTTTACGTTGTACTGTGATGACATGTCACATGGTAGATTCAGTTCCTGTAAAAAGGGGGTGTGCTGAGCACGGGCCTTCAGACGCTTGCTGAAAAACTACTACGGGCGGGGGTGGGGCAAGGGAGGGTTCTGAGCCTGTGTGCCCCAGCAGCTGCTGGAGAATATGTGGGTCTAGCAGATCTAGCCAGCCCCTCCCCGTTGTCCAGGCGGTACCGCATGCAGAGTCCCAGCTCCCTGCCCCTCTCCGGGCTCCTTGGTGACAGCCTCCTCTGTCAATAGCCCGAGACAAGCACGTTTCCAGGCGATTCCTGGGCCCTGCGCTGGGCCTGGGCCCCGAGGGCAAGCCTCCGATCCCTGCCATGCGGCAGCTGGGGCGTGTGGTCCAGCCTGACCCGCTGCCCCTCTTCTTGGCACACGTGTGTCCAGTCCGCGGGCCCGGGGACACCCCCTCGGGGTTGTGTGCACTTCCGCAGCTTTAAGAACGGCTCCCTCATGAGAGAGAAGATCCGCGACGAGTCGGCTTCCTGTTCCTGGAGCGAGTTCTCGAAGGCGCTGCGGTCCACGGAGATGGGGAACGGCGGACACGTGGGTAGGCGGAGTGGCAATGCGCAGGCCCCGGAGGGGCAGTGGCTGCCCGTGGAGGGGCAGGGCCTGGCGCCCCGGGAGTAGGGGGAGAGGAGGGCCAGGGAGAGGCCTAGGGGAGCCCTGTGTGCCTACACGTTGGCTCCGTGGGCCTGGCAGCTGGTGAGAGACCCTGTGGGTTTTTTTTTGTTTTGTTTTTTTTTTAATATATTTTATTGAGTTTTTACAGAGAGGAAGAAAGAGGGATAGAGAGTTAGAAACATCGATGAGAGAGAAACATCGATCAGCTGCCTCCTGCACACCTCCTACTGGGGATGTGCCCACAACCAAGGTACATGCCCTTGACGGGAATCGAACCTGGGACCTTTCAGTCCACAGGCCGACACTCTATCTGCTGAGCCAAACCGGTTTTGGCAAGACCCTGTGTTCTGGGGGAGGCTGGGCTGGAGGCTGCCCCGAGTGGGAGACTGGGCCATCGCTGCCTCTCCTGCCCCCTCCGAGCGCCAGGTGGCAGCCTCAGAGGTGGCAGCCTCAATGCCCACTCTCTTCCCTGTGCACAGCTCTCTGCTGCGGACACAAGGTCCTGTAGGAAAGGTGCCCGGCGTCTGGAACAGGCCTCTGAGGGGGAGGGGACGTGGGCAGGTATTTCAGGGCTGGCGGGGCAGCTGCCCGTGGCCCGGCTGCCCAGGGAGCGTGGGGAGAGCTAAGGAAGCTGGCCGAGGCCTGTCCGGTGCCCGCTGTCCTGTCGGAGGGCAAGGGCCTGAGAGTATCCGTACGTCTCATCCCGTGGGGAGTGGGGCCGGGGGACAGAGGGGGGGGGGTCATTGCGCCCCGCCCTTTTCTAAGTCTTAAGACGCCCACCTTTGGTTTTTGGTCGCTGACCGCTCATCTCTCACTGGTCTGTTTCAGGCTTTTATTTTGACGTCAAGGAGATCACCCCTGAAGTGATCGGGCGCCACAGGTTCAGCCCGGAAAACCGTGAGGTATGTGCTAGTGTGTTGGTGCTGTGTCAGCTCCATTTCTGAGTGTTACATTTAACAGTTGCCTGTGACGTTAGGCTACTTTCAGGGGCCTCATTCACTCACTCATCTATGGATAAAACAAACATTTTTGAGCCTCTGGCCGGGTAGCTCAGTTGGTTAAAGAGTCATCCTGATATGCCAAGGTCTGGGTTTGATTCCGGGTCAAGGAACATATAAGAATCAACCAATGGCCCTAACTGATTTGGCTCAGTGGATAGAGCGTCGGCCTTCGGACTGAAGGGTCCCAGGTTCAATTCCGGTCAAGGGCATGTACCTTGGTTGCAGGCACATCCCCAGTGGGGGATGTGCAGGAAGCTGCTGATCGATGTTTCTCCCTCATCGATGTTTCTAACTCACTATCCCTTTCCCTTTCTCTCTGTAAAAAATCAATAAATTATGTTAAAAAAAATCAACCAATAAATGCATGGATAACTGGGACAACAAATTGAGGTCTCTCCCTCTCTCCTTCCCTCTCTACCTCCTTTCCTTTCTCCCTTTCTCCCTCCCTTCTCTCCTATTCCCCTCCCGCCCTCTTGCTTTCCCCTCCTCTTTCTTCTTCTCTCTCTAAAATCAATTACAATTTTTTTTTTTTTTGATGTGCCAGGGTGCATGCTTGATGTGGGGAATCAGCAGCTATGTCTGAGCTCCATTGCAGGCCTGAGTCCTGCATTCGGGTCATTGTTTAACATGCTAACACACACACACATACACACACAGGAGTGGACAGTGGGAGCTCCTCACTCCGGGCTCACTGTCTCTTGGACACAGGTCCCAGCATTCCCCAAGGATGTGGAGATCCGAGCACTGATCGAAGGACAGTTCATGGCCAAGAGGATTCACGCCGAGAGCCTGGGCTACCGCGTCCGTAAGTGAGCTGTGGTGGGCTGTGTTCTGGGGCGGGAGCTAGGGTCCCGCTCGCACTGGGGGTTTGAGTCCCTTTTCGGCCATCAGACGTAGCCATTGCAGGGGCCTCAGGCAAGAGAGAAACACATACGGCAGGACTCCGTGGACACTGTGTTCAAAAGCAGACACAGCTGTCCACGGTGGTTGGCAGGGTGCTCCAGCTGTCAGGAGCGGCAGCTGTCAGGAGGGGGTGTGCAGGGAGAGGCAGCGAGGGCAGAGGGGTCCTCCTGGGCTCGGGAGGGTCATGGGATCATGTCCCATTCCCAGCCTCTAAAATGTTTCCTGTGCAAAACAGCATAACGTTACTTATCCTCTTAGCGAGCCTGAAAGCATGATCCAGCCTGCTCTGCCGGCTCTGCTGGGTTCCTCTCGAACAGGATCAAATAAATAAATGGGCTCGTTCCCCCCACACACACATCTACACCGCCCCCCTTCCCCGCCCCCACTCTCTCCAGGGCACTAAGAGGCGCCATCTCCCAGCTGCTGTGTGGATGGACCCGCTTGGGTTCCTTCTTGATCAGCCCTAATCTTGTTATTATAGTGTTTAAGGAGGACAAAGAGGCGCTTGATGTAGGGCTGATGGTCATGATAATTACAGCTCCCAACACTTATTAAGCACCTACTGTGTGCACAGCCTGGTTCTAGGCACTCATTCCTTGTTAACCGCAGCGCTCTGCTCCGAGGTAGGTGCTGGTATTACTCCCACTTCCCAAAGGAGGAAACGTGTTAAGTCGCTTGCTTAACACGTTGAGGCTGGCAGAGCTTATGAACCAAGCTTCTGGCTCCAGGCTCTTGGTTCTTTTTATTTTCTTATTTTTAATAATTTCAGAGAGGAAGGGAGAGGGAGAGAGAGAGAATTAGAAACACCAATGATGAGGAAGAATCATTGATAGCTACCTCCTGCATGTCTCTTACTGGGGATTGAGCCCACAACCCAGGCATGCGCCCTTGACTGGAATCGAACCTGGGACCCTTCAGTCTGAAGGCCGATGCCCTATCCACTGAGCCAAGCCAGCCAGGGCAAGACTCTGAGTTCTTAACTACTGGCTACAGATGCTTTCTTTAAAGAACCATCGCCCTCTTATGTTTAGACACCATCAGACATGCACCTGTCTGCCCTGGGCCAACACCATGGTCCCTTTCAGCTTATATTTCTGTGTGTATTTCATTTTGTTTAGGTTGGTCTGTAAAAGCAATAAAACCTTACCTTAGCAAGTTTGGAAAGTAAAGAAAACTACCCAGAATCCCCTCTTCCCGCCCCTGGTACCACCTGGAAGTTCTTCCAGTCTCCTTTATGGACTTATTTCTGTCTTCTAAAGTCTTACTTCCTTTGTGCATACAATCCCTACAGTTTATCAAAAGCCTTCTTCTGGTGCTTTCCCTGCAGTCAGGCATAGAGGCTATTTTTGTTTGTTTTTAAAATATTTTTATTAATTTCAGAGAGGGAGGAAGAGAGAGAGAGAGAGAGAGAGAGAGAGAGAGAGAGAGAGAGAGAGAGAAGAAACACCAATGAGAGAATCCTTCCATCAGCATGAGCCCTGACCAGGAGTCAAACTATTCATGATTCATGGGTCGGTACTCAATCACTGAGCCACACCGGCCGGGCAGCACCCCAGTCTTAAAGAGAATGCTTCTAAATGTTTCTGTTAAGAAGGATGTGTGTTGCCGAAACCGGCTTGGCTCAATGGATAGAGCGTCGGCTTGGGGACTGAAAGGTCCCGGGTTTGATTCCGGTCAAGGGCATGTACCTTGGTTGTGGGCATATCCCCGGTGGGGGGTGTGAAGAGGCAGCTGATCGATGACTCTCTCTCATCGATGTTTCTAACTCTCTATCTCCCTTCCTCTCTGTACAAAATCGATAAAATATATTTTTTTAAAAATAAATAAATAAATAAATAAATAAATAAATAAATAAAGAAGGATGTGTGTTGTACATTTTGGATATATGGTATTCATTGATTTAATTAAGGTCCCTTCTTTCCTGTTTTGTTGAGAGATTTTGTTTTTTAACAATTAAAAGAAAAAGAAGATGTTCAGAGGTGGGTGGGACAGCAGCCTCACAAGCCCATTATGTGACAAGCCTGCAGGGACAGAACCAGCGGAGGGGAGGGTCTCTCCCCGCATCCTCTGTGGCGAGCAAGAAGCAGTGGGGCAACCCGAGCCCCTTTGTGGCTGAAGGACCCTGGGGAACCGCTGTCATTTTTTCCCCTTTTTCCTTGCAGTGCCCAAGACCAAGATTTTGGCCACTGGAGGGGCCTCTCACAACAGAGACATACTACAAGTAAGTGTGGAAAGGATCTCTCCCACATCTGTGAATTCTTTTTAAAAATGTATTTTATTGATTTTTTTACAGAGAGGAAAGGAAAGGGATAGAGAGTTAGAAACATTGATGAGCCGAAACCGGTTTGGCTCAATGGATAGAGCGTCGGCTTGGGGACTGAAAGGTCCCGGGTTCGATTCCGGTCAAGGGCATGTATCTTGGTTGCGGGCATATCCCCAGTAGGGGGTGTGCAGGAGGCAGCTGATCGATGACTCTCTCTCATCGATGTTTCTAACTCTCTATCTCTCCCTTACTCTCTGTACAAAATCAATAAAATATATTTAAAAAAAAAAAAAAAAAAAAAAAAAAAAGAAACATTGATGAGAGAGAAGCAGCGATTCAGCTGCCTCCTGCGCACTCCCTACTGGGGATGTGCCCGCAACCAGGGTACATGTACTTGACCGGAATCGAACCTGGGACCCTTGAGTCTGTAAGCTGATGCTGCATCCGTTGAGCCAAACCAGTTAGGGCTGTTAATTCTTTTTTAAAAATTGCTTGTTTTGTTTTGTTTAAATTTCAGAGAAGGAGAGAGAGAGAGAGAGAAAGAGAAACATTAATGATGAGAGAGATTCATTGATTAGCTGCCTCTTGCATGCCCCCTACTGGGGCCTGCAACCCAGGTATGTGCTCTGACTGGGAACCGAACCATGAGCTCCTGGTTCGTAGGTTGATGCTCAACCATCAAGCCACACCGGCCGGGCCCATGCCTGTTCCTTCTCAGAGCCAGACACTCAGCAGGAGGACTGCCTGTTCCCATTCCTTCCCTCCCAGGAAGCCAGATATGCTGCCCTGCAGCGCGCACTGTGCCCTGAGCAGGTTGTCTTAGACTCGGGCAACCCGCTGCCCTGTGTAACTCCACTCTGATACCAGCCCTGGCCTCTGTGGTCACACGGAAAGTGCCTGTCCCACACGTCAAACTGACATCGCACGCCAGTGTTCTTGCCTTCCTAAAAGTGTCTGCCTTCCAGTTTAAAGATCTCTTGATTTCTCAACCATTGCTCTTGTAATTCAGTTGCCAGACTTGGTCAATCTTTCTGGTCGTCCATTATGCTAGAAACATGTGAGCAAAATTGGAATTAGCCTGCAGATGTCTCACCATCAGGCTGTTATATCTTGGGGCTGAGTATTTGGGGATGTAGCCTGAGGCTGCCTTAGCTGATTGAATGACTGCATGGACTCTTGACTTGTAATGTACCTGCCTTAGGTAAGATTCTCTAGAAGCAGAGCATGAAATGGGCATTTTCTAATGAAGCGATGTATTGAGAGAGTTCTCCTGGGAGAGAGAGGGGGTGGGAGATGCAGGCAGGGCAGGAGAAGGGCAAGCAAGGATGTGCTTCTGGCTGGCATCGGCTTCAGCTCCGTCCCGTGGGGAGATCTGGAACATGAACTCTACCACAGCTTTGTTTTCAACTCTACCAACTGGCCATCCTGGGAGAGGTGAAAATAACCTTCTGTGAGAGGGAGGGACAGCTGTGGGCCATCAGGAGCCAATATTCATGGCATCTGGAGAGGGGTGCATAGTGGTCCAGTCAGGGGATAATTATGGGGCATTAGTGGCATCTACTATACTATCTCTGGTCAATTAAGACCCTCAAGTCTTGTCCTAACCAGTTTAACTCAGTGGATTAAGCATGAGCCCATGGACTGAAGGGTTCTGGGGTTGATTCCAGTCAAGGGCACATATCTCAGTTGCAGGCTCGATCCCTGGCCCGTACAAGGTTCTTGTGGCAGGCAACCAATCGATGTGTCTCTCTCACATCGATGTTTCTCTCTCTGTCACTCCTCACTCCTTTCCACTCTCTGTATAAATCAATGGGAAAATCTTTGGTGAGGATTAACAACAAAAAAAGACCCCCAAGTCTTTTCCACGTGAGCTCCTCTCAGCACATGTCCTCCATTCTACATGTATGCAATTTATTTGGAACACGTTATACTTATTCCTATAAAACATGCCCTTGTTGGTTGGGTTTGGGCTTGTGAATAATAGTCTGACACATAGCCGTCTGCACCTTGACCATTTGCTAAGCATCCTTCCTAAATCTCCCTCCTTTGTCTTGGATGCTGTGGTTAGACAGTGCAGGGACAACCTGAAGAGCTGTGGTCCTCCACTCGAGACTTCCTGCAGGGCACCCAGACCCTTTTATCATGGGCACATGGCCAAGTACACTTCCTTTAAGGTGGTAGAGGTGTCCTGGGAGGCATCAGAAGACGGATGAGGGAAGAGCTTGGAAAATGTGTGCCAGGCTTCCCGTGTTACCCCTCTGGAGCAACCCGCCACAGTCAGAACGTCTGTCCTCTCCAGGTGCTCGCGGACGTGTTTGGCGCCCCGGTCTATGTCATAGACACCGCCAACTCAGCCTGCGTGGGCTCCGCTTACCGAGCTTTCCACGGTAGGTGGATGGATGGGGGAGAGCGGGTGGGCACTCACTGGGCTGAGAAGGGTGGAAAGGGGAGACTGGGGTGTCCCCAGTCTTTCAGGACATTGGAGTGTTGTCGGCTGTACCTTCATTTTTCTCCCTCCCAGAAGGCGAGAACCAACCCCAATTTTCAACCCCTTTATCCTCCACGTAAAGTGGGGAGAGAGCGGCAGGTCCTGAGTGAGGCCTGGTCAGAATCAGGCTCCGCACAGGCTCGTTGGGAATGGATGTAGGCACACTGAGGGCACGGGTGCCAGGGAGTGGACAGCTGGTGGGCCGGAGAGGTGGATGAAGTCCAGAGTCTTTTTAGCAAGAGCGGAGCGATGAGTCAACCACCGTGAAGGCTTAGGAGCCAAGGACTTCAGGACCTTGGACAGTGGCACGGGCGCCTGTGCTCTCCTGGAGGCGGCTCTGAAATCCCTGGTAGGAAAGGAATCTCCCCAGTTAGGAGCAGTTGTGGCAGGAGCAGCAGGTGCCCACAAGAGTGTTCTTCCTTCCGTTTGGTCAGTTTTCTCTGCCCCCTGACAGCTCCGGCTGCTCCTCCGGCTGCCCTTGTACCTTAAGGGCTTTGTCTTTTCCCTCTAGAGCCAGTGTTTCCCAAACTTCTCTCATGAGGAGAATCACCTGGTAGAGTTGTTAAACTACAGATTCCTGAATCCCAACTAAGAAGTGCTAAACTAGAATTTTTGGGAACATATACAATTTTACCTATATGATCCCAAAAATTCTAGTTTAACACTTCTTAGTTGGGATTCAGGAATCTGTAGTTTAACAACTCCACCAGGTGATTCTCATCATGAGAGAAGTTTGGGAAACACTGCTCTAGAGGTTCCGTTCTTCACGCATTTACTTTTAACTTTTTAACACACCTTTAAAGTATATTATAAATATATATTTATTTGTTTGTTTGTTTGCTTGCTTATTTATTTTAGAGAGTGGAAGGGAGAGGGAGAGAGAAATAGAAACATCAATGATGAGAATCATTCATCAGCTGTCTCCTGCATACCCCCTACCAGGGATTAAGCCTGCAACCCAGCTGTGTGCCCTGACCAGGTATTGAATCATGACCTCCTGGTTCATGGGTTGATGCTCAACCACTGAGCCACTCCAGGCAGGCTTAATACACCTTTTAAAACATTTTCTACTAACATTGAGAATTAATTCAGGACCGTATCCGCCTCTTAATAATTACATCTTTTATTCCTCCCTCCACACCCCATCCATCTCACACCACTTCACACCATCTCCTATATCCTGATCATTGGACACTTTATTTCCAGATTGTTAAAATTTACATTGTATTGGGTTTTACTTGCACTTACTTATGAGTTTCTTTTCTTTATTTTCTTTTTAAACTCACTGCAGTTTCTCTTTCAAGTCTATGTTAGTTTTTTGTTGAAATATTATAACCCAAACACATTTTTAAGTGGGAATTCAGTAAGTGATAATTTTCTGAGGCCTCACATGGCCAGCAAAGGGCTTTGCTTTGTCCTCCCAAAGAATGTGACCTTGGCTGGTCAGAGGACTCTAAGTTCTAAATACTTTGCTTTGAGACTTTGAAAACATGTCCACAGTCTTCCAACCGTCAGTGTTGCCCATTCGGAGCCTTGAGTCTGCCTCCTCTTCCTCCTTCTCCTCCTCTTCCTCCTCCTCCTCCTCCTCCTCTTCCTCCTCCTCCTCCTCTTTCTCCTCCTTTTCCTCCTCCTCTTCTTCCTCCCGCCCAAGCAGGGAAAGAACTCCTTTTTGGGGAGGACTCCGCTGCTCTGCTGCATGTGTTTCTTTCCCATCTTTCCTTTTCTGTGCCTACTTAGTTGCCAAAGGTTATCTGGGGAGTTATTCCCCCCCCCCAACCCAAAACCTGAGCACTAAGGTGGGGAATGTCCAGCCCGAGGGCCATATGAGGCCTGTGAAATCATTCATTCTGGCCCTGCCAAGGCATTAGGGGTGAGTTAATTAAATGCTTGACCAAATAGAGCAGGCTAATTTTTAAGTGGATAATTTCGTATGGCCCGAGAGTGATGCTATAAATATCCAAATGGCCCTTGGCAGAGAAAGGTTCCCCATCCCTGACCTAGCATATCAGTTCCCACCCCGAAGTGTCTCAGCCACTTCCTTTACAGACCTCTTCTCCCCAGCTGGGTCCTGGGATGAATTTCACACATAGCAGTCCTGAAGGAGTGGAAAGAGAGCTAGATCTTTAAAAAAAAAAAAAAAAATCTATTTTATTGATTTTTTTACAGAGAGGAAGGGGGAGGGAGAGAGAGTCAGAAACATCAATGAGAGAGAAACATCGGTCAGCTGCCTCCTGCATGCCCCCTACTGGGGATGTGCCCGCAACCAAGGTACATGCCCTTGACCGGAATCGAACCTGGGACCCTTGAGTCCACAGGCAGACGCTCTATCCACTGAGCCAAACCAGTTAGGGCGGGAGCTAGATCTTTTGATTAGTCTCACCGCTGGCCACCGCACCACTCACCCTCCTCTTCGTTCATCCACCCAGCGCCGAGCTGGGGTCCTCCAGCCCTCGGATAGGAAACCGGCCTCACCTCTTCCGAGGGCTCCTTCACTCCTGATGGGGCTGCTTCCCTGCCAATCCGACACTACTCCTTAAACTGTCTGCAAACCCCTCACTGTCTCTTGGCCACCTGAGGCAGCCTTCCCCCTTTTCCACGCTGCCCTTCGTTTGCTCCGTATTTATTGAGTGCTTTCTGTATGCAGGAAGTGTGCGAGGCCCCAGGCGTTAGTGGAGGCCCAGTCCTGGCCTCACAGAGCAACACACCTGTGGCGGGAACTGTGAGGAGCGCTCTGAGGGAAGCCAGTGGTGCTGAGAGGCAGAGGGTGAGGGGGCCTCCCCAGCCAGGGATGCTCTGGGCCGCCGCTTCTCTGAGGAGAAAAGTACATGGAAAGAGAAGAACATCCCACCATGTGAAAAGGCTTCAAGGCAGGAGGAATTGGAAGCCGCTGGGGTGGCTCGAATATAGTGAGTGATGGAGGGAGGAGTAATGTGAGGGAGAGGAGGCAGGCGGCCCTCCCCTCTGTCAGATGCCAGAGCTCAGCCGAGGACTGACAGGTGTTGGCAGTGAGCAAGACAAGCCAGGCCCTGCTGAGGAGGCCTGCACTTGAGATTTTTCTTTTTCTTTTTATTAAAAAAAAATATTTTATTGATTTTCCACAGAGAGGAAGGGAGAAGGATAGAGAGCCAGAAACGTCGATGAGAGAGAAACATGGACTAGCTGCCTCCTGCACACCCCCCACTGGGGATATGCCCGCAACCAATGTACATGCCCTTGACCGGAATCGAACCTGGGACCCTTCAGTCCGCAGACCGACGCTCTATCCACTGAGCCAAACCGGTTTCGGCGAGATTTTTCTTTTTTCTCTCTCTTTGTGAATGGTTTTTCAAGGCATGGTCATGTGACATAAGAATTACCCAGTTGTAAGTATACAGTTCAGTGATTTCTAATGAATTTACTGAGTTGTGCAACCATCACCCTAAGCCCAGAGATAAAATGCTATTTCCGGTTAATGCCCTGATTTGCAGCATACACTGACGTGAAATGAGCTTTCCTTTTGTAGGCCTTGCAGCTGGGACAGGCGTGCCCTTCTCCGAGGTCGTGAAGTTAGCCCCAAGTCCCCGATTAGCTGCTACCCCGAGCCCCGGAGCTTCTCAGGTGAGAGACCATCCGAGTTTGCTTATAGCATTTGCACTGTGACAACCAACCGGGTTCTCCCCTTCCCCCCTCCAAAGGTAAGTTTTTCTTTGTCGCCTACATTAAAGTTGATGTGCTCAATGAAAAGAGAAATACTACTTTTTAAAATATAAATTATATATATATTTTATTGATATTTTACAGAGAAGAAGGGAGAGGGATAGAGAGAAACATCGATGAGAGAGAAACTTCCATTAGCTGCCTCCTGCACACTCCCTTCTGGGGTTGTGCCCGCAACCAAGGTACGTGCCCTTGACTAGAATCGAACCTGGGACCCTTCAGTCCTCAGGCCAAGGCTCTATCCACTGAGCCCAACCGATTAGGGCTTTTTTTTTTAATTGTCAAGAAAGTGGAGGAAAAGAAGCTGGGTTGTCAGCGGAGATTCACAGATACCAGTTCCTGCTGATTTCTCAGCCTCAGGGGTCAGGTACATTGCTGGGCACATCTCCATTGTTCCGTGTGCCTCAGGGCAGGCCCTTCCAATTCACCAGTTACAGAAGCCTGGGAAAGACTGTGGCTGAAGCACAGGGCATGCAGGGCTTCTAGCACTCAGATCTGCAGTCTGGATCCAAGACAGCCGCCAGGCCCTCAGGCCAGGAAATCCCTGTGTGCTGGCCCCCTCAGTTACAGATTATGCTCCCGGGAAGGCAGGCTACTCTTGGGACTCTAGTCTTTGGAAGGAAAAGGAGGAGATAAGTGGCAGGGCAGGCCCACTGGGGCCCTCAGCTATCCCTGCAGGAACTTCTGAAGCTGGGATAACCCTTTATTTTTTTATTTTTTAAAAATATATTTGTTGATATTTTACAGAGAGGAAGAGAGAGGGATAGAGAGTTAGAAACATCGATGAGAGAGAATCATCGATCAGCTGCCTCTTGCACATCCCCTACTGGGGAAACGCCCGCAACCAAAGTATATGCCTCTGACTGGAATCGAAGCCAGGACCTTTCAGTCCGCAGGCCGACACTCTATCCACTGAGCCAAACCAGTTTCGGCTGGGATAACCCTTTAGAGTTGTACCAGTTGGGATGCGGGGCCAGGCCTCCATACCCCACGTCAGCCGGTCATTGCATGCAGGCTGCAGGCCATCCCAGGATGGGGTAAAGCAGCCCTCCATAGCTGAAGTCATCCCCAAAGGGGGCTGTCAGCTGAGGCTGGAGAGTAAGCTCTCCGTTCCTGCAGGGCAGTCTGGGTGGTCTGCCACAGGATCCGCCCCACCGCTGTCCTGTTTGCAGAAGGTCCTCGCAGTCCAGTGGCAGGGGCAGTGCAGGCAGAGCGCTTTATTATTTAAGGCAGTCCAGCAGGCAGCCTGAGCTTCATGCTTGCTTCATGTTTCCTTCATTCTGGAGTGTCCCCGGGGTGATACGGAGTGGGCCCAGGTGGCTACTGTGCACGCACTGTGTCTGTGTCACAATGGAGGGACCCTGAGCTTGGAAACCTGTAACCTTATAAAGGAGTGGCAAGCAAAGCCGCCCAACCTTTGCCCCCAAAGGAGACACTATCTTTGTTGTCCCAGGCAGCAAGAAAATGTGCCCTCTGCCCCAGAGGCTGACACTGTCCCTGTCTTTCAAGGCTGCTATGTAAACGCCCTTGAAAAGATGGTGGGGAACGAAAGCTGTGACATAGAAACACCCCTGAGAATTGCTCCCAGCATCTTTTGGAAGCAGAAGCTCATACTTTCTGGGTGACAGGGCAACCCACACACATAGGTGTACCCAAGATTCCATTTACTTCTAGAGGCCCAGTGCACGAAATTGGGCAGGAGGGAGAAGGGCGGGTTCCTCAGCCTGGCCTGAACCCTCTCGCAATCCAGGACCCCTGGGACATTTCTCCCGCAATATGGGACCGCTGGCTCCTAACTGCTCACCTGCCTGATCGCTCCTAACCACTCTGCCTGCCTGCCTGATCACCCCTAACAACTCTGCCTGCCTGCCTGATCGCCCCTAATCACTCTGCCTGATTATCTGATCACCCCTAACCACTTGCCTGCCTGCCTGATCACCCCTAACCGCCTTTGCCTGAATCCCTGATTGCCCCTAACCACCTCTGCCTTGGCCCCCACCGCAGCAACTTTGTCCAGAATGACATCCAGGAGGTTGTTCGGCTGTCCAGTCTAATTAGCATATTATGCTTTTATTATAATAGGTTGTGTGTCCTTGTGTTTAAGAGACAGCTTAGTGCAGTAGAAAGATCCTACATTGAGATAAAGGAGCTTTGGGTTCTGAACTCATTCTGCCTCTCCTTCACCATCTGACCTTCATGTGACCTTGATCAGCACTGCTCCTTTCTGAACCTCTGTTTCTTCATCTGTGACAACATCCGTCCTGCCTACTTTTAAGCTGCCGGTTGTGAGGCTGAAGGAGCAGCCTTCACTGTCCTGGCTTTCTTATATAACAGGAGGTAGGTCTGAAGGTCATTGCCAGTGTTGGTTCAGTGGTTCCGCACCATAACCCCTGCAGTTCTCCAGATCAGCAGTGGGCAATGGGGACCTCATGAGAGCCACCTAGGCCGTCTAAAAATTCCCAGTAGTCTCATTAAAAAAAAAAAAAATGTATAAAGAAATAAATGACAACTTTTAATAATATTTTATTTAATCCAGTAAGTCCAAAATATTGTCATTTCAACATATAATCATTAAGAAGAAGTGCTAATGTGATATTTTGCTCCTTTTTTTGTCTGGAGCCTTTGAAATCTGGTGTGTGCCGAGAGTACCAGCTACATCTCAAGTGTGCACAGGCCCAGATGGCTGTGGCTCCCGTATGGGCTCCTGCAGCTCTAGACATGGCCCAGATGGTGGCAGGGAGTCTGCAGCTGCTCCAGACATCGTGTGTGTCCCCCCCAAGCGCATTCGCTGGGCAGAGTCTCTCCTCACACCCTTCTCAAGACGTCCTGTCTGTTCCCCTTAACTCCCCAACAGACTGCGCCTTGGTCACGTGGTCAGCCGTGGTTGTAGGAAAGGCTCTTGCAGGGTCTGGCTCTCTTATCCTCTCTAGGATACAAGGAAGCAGGTAGCTGGGGAAAGGTAAGGAAACGAGCCTGCACCTGCCTCATTACAGGCAGCAAATATCTGTGTACGGCCACTCCCCCTGGCCTGGGCATGGCCCGTCACTAATAGCTCGTGGCACTCTTTATTCTAAAGCCAAGGGTAACCTCAGAGTCCTTCTCAGCACAGGCCATAAGCAGTGACGAGCCCCTGACTGTTGGCATAAGTGACCTAGGTGCGGACTGCATTGTAAATTCCTGGAGAGCAGAGAGCAGGGCCACCGCCTGCTTTCTCTCTGCGCCTCCAGAGTGCTGTGCTGCAGTGGAAATTCGAAAAGTAATAGTGTGCAACAGTGTGCAATGCTTTCTCTCTGGGCTTAGCTGAATGTTGTGATTTCTGATTTCTTCCCTGGAGAGGAAATGGAGGCCCCCTCACTTCCTCTGTGTGCACAGACAGAGCGGCTCTGGCTGCACCAAGAGTAGGTCCTTATTGCACAGTCAGTTACTTGACTTTGGAGCTGGTTAAGCCAAAGGAAGCAGGAACGGGTCTGGCTGGAACTAGCAGGGCTTGTGAGTCCCAAGGAAACTGGCCTTTTGGTCTGAAGCGCTGCTTGTCTGTAAGATGGTGTGTGCTCGTATGGAGTGTGCCATTTTCTCAGACGGGCTTGTGGAGCCACAGGAGAAAATAACTTTAAAAAAAAAATGAATAAAGGGTAAGAATTAGGGGTTTATTTCTTTGTGGTCCTTTTTCCCTGGTTGGTTTTTAAGTTTGGGTTTATTATACAGCATACTGTACACATAATTATAAATATATTATTATATAGCATACTGTACACATAATTATATATATTATTATATAGCATACTGTACACATAATTATATATATTAGAGGGAAAGGAAGGGAGAAGGCTGGGAGGCTAAGAGACTTTTCTGGGTGCCTGTATGAACTGCCGCGTGCCCACTCTATGGCCTCCCATTGAAGAGGGGTGCCTGTGGCTGCTGTGCCAGCAGGTGTGTTTCTCCAGTGTGCCCTCTGGAGAGCCGGCGTGTGGCCCAGGCTAGTTGTATGCCTCTGAATGTTCCATGGTGTCTAAGAAGACCTTCGGTGGACCGGTCACCCTACATGCAGGACTATTTCCTTAGAGGAGCTTTGCAGAAGCAGACTCACTGGGTTAAAGGCTACGGGCATTTTCACGCTGCTTTTTAAAAAAAAAATATATATTTCATTGATTTTGTACAGAGAGGAAGGGATAGAGATAGAGAGCTAGAAACATCAATGAGAGAGAGTCATCGAACAGCTGCCTCTTGCACACCCCCTACTGGGGATATGCCCGCAACCAAGGTACCTGCCCTTGACAGGAATCGAACCCGGGTCCCTTCAGTCCCCAAGCCGACGCTCTATCCATTGAGCCAAACCGGTCTCGGCTTCACGCTCCTTGATACAGGCATCAAGTCAAGTTGATTCCCCAAAGCAACTTCCACCAGCTGTACAAGGAGACAGCCATGTCCCGGTCTCTTCACCAGAATTTTTTTTTTTTTTTTAATTTTGTAGATTTGATAACAAAAATCGGCTTCTTGTCATAATTTGCCTTTAAAAACATTTTGAACTCTCGGTTGGAGAAGCAGTAGCATTTTTTTTTTTTTTTTTTTTTTTTTTTTTTTTTATGGCTTGGCACTTCCTTCCTTTTGCCCAGCAGGAAAATTAAGTGGCCAGTAAAAGGGAGGAAAAGGTTTTAAATTTCACGTCGTAAAGAGCTGGGAGAGGCCGCTCCCCTTTTCCTTCTAAACCGCTCTTTCTGCCCATGCAGGTCTACGCTGGCCTCCTGCCACGGTATGCCAAGCTGGAGCAGAGAATCCTGTCCCAGCCCCAGGAGCTCCTGGGGTGAGTCCTGTGGACCCTGCCTGCTCAGACTCGCTGACCCACCGGGAGACGTGGCCCCGGACAGCAGGCACCCTCTTCTCTGTTCTGGGTGCCTGACACCTGGCTCCTGACGTGCTCCAGCCCTGTCCGGGACCACCTGGACCTGCCTCGCACACCTTCCTGAGCATAAACGGGCTCCTGTGTCCCTGTGTGCTGTGCTCAGACAGGAGAGCATCTCTTTCCCATTTCAGGAGGCGGATAACACGGAACCTGGGATATCCCCCCCAAAAAGACGACATTTTCCTTTCCTTTTTTTTTTTTTTTAAACTATATTTCTTATTGATTTCGGTAAAGAAGGGAGAGAGAGAGAGAGAGAGAAACACTAATGAGAGAGAATCATCGATCAGCTGCCTCCTGCATGCCTCCCACTGGGGATCAAGCCCACATCTGCAACCTGGGCACATGCCCTGACCGGGAATAGAACTGTGACCTCCTGGATCATAGGTCCACGCTCAGCCTCTGAGCCACAATCAGCTGGGCTGACATTTTCCTTTTCAAAGGCAGAAATAAATCTGATCCAAGGAACTAAGTCAGCAAAATAGGGAAGAGAATTCCATCCCACATACCGTGACCCAAGCCCATCCCGTCTTCAATCCCGACTCTCTGGCCACTTGGAAAATTGTCTCAGAATGACCAACCAAGAAATATCCTAGCTAACTACTGCACGTTCAAGGTGAAGAGGGGGAGAGGGGGAGCTCTCTAGGCCAAAAGACCTAGTTTTTTACAAGAAAAGATCAAGGTTGGTATCAGACTTCTCAAAGAGTCAGCAGCAGTGGAGCAACATTTTCGAGAAACTCAAACTAAAAATATGAACTAAGTGTTTAATACCGACTAAGCTGCCCAAGCATCGAGGATAATTTTTAAAAGGTTTTAATCAGGCACAAGCTCAGGAAGTAATGCCTTAGGATTCTATTAAAAGACAAGCTTCCTCCAACTAGGAGATGACGGGTGAAACGGAAGCACAAGGACTGGCAGTGATCATTGCATATCTTTAATTTGGGATAAAAGACCAAAATGAACGTGGGGATAAGGGTAGAAGAATAGTATCCAGTGGTATATGCTTTGACAAGGTAGAAGTAACACAATAAATAAATGGAAAAGGAGAGAGGGAGAGGACAGTACGAAGAGCTCTTGGTTGCAAAGGCAATATGGGTGAGTCACCATCATTTAAAGCTGACAAGCCAAATAGTTGAAGCTTCAATGAGGAAAAAGGGACACGGAGCATTATATAAAGGCAATAGTGTGTGGTATTAAAGGTAATCAGCCGGAACCGATTTGGCTCAATGGATAGAGCCTGCGGACTGTAAGGTCCCAGGTTCGATTCTGGTCAAGGGCATGTACCTTGGTTGCAGGCACATCCCCAGTGGAGGGTATGCAAGAGGCAGCTGATCGATGTTTCTCATCGATGTTTCTAACTCTCTATCCCTCTCTCCTCCTCTCTGTAAAAAATCAATAAAATATATTTTAAAAAATAATTAAAAAATAAAGGTAATCAGTAGGACAAAAATAGGCATCTCCTTCAATGCCCTCACAAATAGTAATACAGGGGACAGAGCACATAGTCATAAAGATCTCACATTAACAAACAGGAAAAAATAGAATTAATAAGTAAACAGTATTTTGAGTATTTGAAAAAAAATCAAAATACGTAAACTACTAGCTAATAAAAAGGGGAGAAAGCAGTAACACAAAATAAAAATAGTGAAAAATTAATGTTGAAACAATTTCTTTTTAATTTTAAGGACTACTTCACACAACTCTGCAAATAAATTTGAAAATCTAGAAGAAATGGTAAACACCTAGGAAAATGCATAATTTACTAAAATGACTTCAGTGGTGACAGAAAGTTTAAGCAGACTAATTTTCATAAAAGGAACAGAAATGATTGTAAAAGAACTACCCTATCAAAAAGGCACTAGGTTAGCCGAAACCGGTTTGGCTCAGTGGATAGAGCATTGGTCTGCAGACTGAAGGGTCCCGGGTTCCATTCTGGTCAAGGGCATGTACCTTGGTTGTGGACACATCCCCAGTAGGGGGTGTGCAAAAGGCAGCTGATCGATGATTCTCTCTCATCGATGTTTCTAACTATCCCTCTTCCTCTCTAAAAAAAAAAAAAAAAATCAATAAAATAATAATAAAAAAGGCACTAGGTTAGGTGGGGGTCACAGGGGAATTTGACTAAACCTTCATAGACCAGTTAATCCCTATGCTTCAGAATGTATCCCAGAACCCTGGTAAAGGAAAAAGAACTCTTCCAGATTATTTTCATGAGCGAATATAACATCGATCTCTGTACTAAGTTGCAAATGCCCCAATTCCTCACTTCCCTCTGTAGCCATGTGTTTTGTTATGGGATCTTGTTATGCTCTCCAATGGGATTTTCACAAGCATGATGTAAGCCAGGGCTTGAAAAGCCCTTGTGCAATTGGGATTGCCCTCACTCTGCGCTCTGCCTTTTTCACGAAAGACCTGTGCCTACGCTAGCCCCACCAAACCCATCCTGAATCAGCCATGGGGTGGGTGACTGCCCCCGACATGTGAGTCCAGATGAGACCAGAAGAACTGCCCAGCAAGCACAATGTAAATCACCAGCCTACAGATGAATGAGCTAAATAAATATGACATTAAATCGTGGAGATTACAGTGGTTTATTAAACAGCAACAGATAGCTGATATCACAATGGGTGCCAACACAAAAAGGAAATATATGTGACATTGAAACTGTGCTGTGGTGAAGAAAGGAAAAATGGTGAAGAAATCCTATAGGAGGCAGGGAAAAAAAAAAAGGTTACTGAGTACCCATGATAACGTGGGAGATAGGAAGTTGACCTACTGGACATTTGGGCTTGAGAAAAGAAATTTCTAAGCAGAATGTTGAAAATGTCAAACTAGCCAGATTTAAAGTAAAATTTAGAGGGGATATAAAGATGCTAGAATGAAGAAAATAACTTTCTCATTTTTGTCCCTTTAAGCCAAAAGAGATGATCAAATATAAGATGTTGCTTCTAGAAAAATCAAGGGCTGAAAGATACTTTGCCGGGACCTCTGAAAGAATCAAGGCACTGTCTTAGAACCTTTCTAGCTGATTAAAGTGACTTTCAGGAATCATAAATTCTTGTCCCACACCATCCTCTTATACCTAAAGTATTAGGGGTTAAGTTGAGAGAGGGGTGGGGGAGGGTAGGGAGAGAGACAAGATCTCAACAATAATTGTGGGTATGGCTTTTGGTGCACAGAGCAAGTTCAAATCAGACACAGAAAATCACAGAACATAAAAGTGATGTCAGTCTAGACAAGAAGGGACCAAGTGTAAAAAGATTTGGGCCCCAAAATGAGCAGGGAACAGGCTAAGGATGCTGCTCTAAAGGCATATGTCCCAATGCCCTCTTTAGCCACGCTCAAGGAGGGCAATGCAAGGTGAAAGCTGTAGTGGGTGAAGCCAAGAACCATGGGGCACAGTGGATGCCACCTTCAGTGTGGCAGATGAACTAATAGGGCCTGCATGGTCCCTGCCTTCTGGCATTCACACCCTGGTGTAATTCCCTCTTGAGTGTGAGCAGGACCTGTAACTTGCTTGCAATAAGTAGAACATGACAAAGGTGATGGCATGCCATTTCTGTAATTCTATTATATAAGACCATTACATCCATCTTCTAGCAGATGGGAGTATTCCGCAGTGGCAGTGGAGGGGCTGTAGGCAGAAACAACCTTAACGTATCTGAAGACAGAAAACAGCAGTGTGTTCTAAATGATAATGGTGAGATGGGAGAGGAAAAAGGGTCAATTCTATAGAGCTTTGTTAGCCATCAGCATGAGAAGCCATAGGAGGATTTTAAGCAAGAAGTAATGTAAGTTCCACTTTTAAAATTGGTATTATTGATTTGGGAGAGAGAAAACACACACACACACACACACACACACACACACACAAACACATCGATTTGTTTATTCCACTTATCCATGCATTTATTGGTTAATTCTTGTATGTACCCTGATCAGGGATTGAACCCTCAATGTTGGCATATCAGGATGACACTCTGACCAACTGAGTTACTGGCCAGGGCATGAGTTCCAATTTTAATAGATCATTTCAGTTGCTATAAGGAAGATGTCTTATAGCCAGGCAACTGAGTGGGAACAGGTGACCAGTGATCCATTTCAGTTCACAGCTGTTGCAGAGGTCCCAGCTGCCAGGTGTTGGGTGTGGATGGTATACAGTTCTATGTGGCTGGACCATGGAAGCCAACCTGCTGATGGACTGAATAGGAGAGGACTCAAGAATGATTTGCAAAGTTTTGAGAAATTAGTTGGTTATGCTGTTGAGTTAAATAGGGACAAAGTGGGAGGGGTGGACTGATGGGGGAAATGAAGACCTTCGGCTAGGTGAAGCTTGGGATGCCTGAGGGGCTGCCAAATGGAGATGTCAAATAGACAGTTGGATATCGTATTTTCTGGCGTATAAGATGACTTTTGAACCGAAAAAAAGTCAACCAAAAATCGGGGGCAAAAGACCAAAATTGCACAAAAATTACCTGCAGATCTTGACGGCAAAGTAAGTTTTTTCTTTGAAGTGGGGGGTAGTCTTATACAGCGAATATAGGTCTAAACCTATGTTTTAACTGTAAAATTAGGGGATCGTCTTATACGCCAGAAAATATGGTATACGAATTTGGAGATCCCAGAAACATCAGGCTGGAAGACAGAGATGCACTGTCAGCCTGCATCACCAGGAGTTCTTACTGTGATACTCTACCTGGTGTGGAAGAGAAAAGAGGAACCAGCCAATGTAATCATTGGCAAAAGGATTATAGTTGACTAGTGGCTTGGTGCACAAAATTAGTGCACATTTAAAGGGAATTAATTACAGGAAATATTTTAATATTGCTATTTGCCCTTTATAATAGAAGTGTCAGAGGTGAAAGAAAATTAGTAAAATGTATATGAAAATAACAAATTTATTAATAAATAAACAATAACAGTATCACATCCCACAGCCAGTGCTGGGTGAGGGACGCAGCCTCACGTCCCCTGGCCTTGCCACCACGTATGCTGATTGGTCGTTATGGCAGGAGGGTGTCACAACCATTTGCCTATTAGCCTTTTATTATCAGGTCTAGTAATAATTAATGTCGTTTTAAACATTCGTTTAAAATCTTGCTTGGCGTTGACTTGTATTGACATAACCTTCAAACACGTGGTATCTACAGAACGTGTGAAGTGCAATTAACAAGTTTTGCTTGAAAAAGTTTGTGTTTGGTTTGGTTTTTGTTGCAAAACTAGGGCTAAGAAGATGGCGGATGAAGAGCATATTCGGCACTGCATGCTTTACGAGTTCCAATTAGGAAGAAAAGCAAGTGAGGCTGCAAAAAACATCTGTAGTGCTCTTGGTCAAGATGCAGTTAGCGCCAGAAAATGCCAGCGTTGGTTTGAGAAATTTCGCGAGGGAAATTTTTCGTTAGATGACAAGAGTGGTCGAGGCCGTGTGTCCAATTTTGATCAAGAAGCTCTTCAAGCTCTTTTGGTGCAAAATCCTCAAATTACCCAACAAGAGCTTGCGACAACTTGAAATTGTTCACAAAAAACAATTTCCAATCAATTGCGTGCACTTGGCAAAGTCCAAAAGTTTGGAAAATGGGTTCCTCATGAGTTGACCGACAACAACCTTAATCAAAGAGTCACAATTTGCAGTTTGCTCCTCTCTTGTCAAAACCGTTTGCCGTTTTTAGAGCAAATTGTTACCGGAGATGAAAAATAGGTGCTATATGTTAATTTGAAAAGGCGGCCTCAATGGTTGGACAAAAATGAGGCTCCGCAGCCCACGCCAAAACCTGACTTGCATGCGAAAAAAGTGATGTTGTGTGTTTGGTGGAATTTTAAAGGAATGCTTCACTATGAACTTTTACCATCTAACCAAACCATTACAAGTGCAGTGTATAGTGCCCAATTGGAAAGGTTAGCCCAAGCTTTAAGAGAAAAAGAACCCGCGCTGATTAATCGGAAGGGCGTAATTCTTCACCACGATAACGCACGACCGCATACTGCAAGAATCACTGCTGAAAAACTGCGCCAGTTGGAATGGGAAGTTCTCCCTCAACCTGCATATTCTCCTGATATTGCCCCTTCCGATTACCATTTGTTTCGTTCTTTGCAAAACTTTCTTCTTGGAAAAAAATTTAATAATGAAGAATGCCTCAAAAATGCATTGACCGAATTTTTTTTGCATCAAAATCACAAGAATTTTACAACAGAGGGATTAAAATGCTTCCTGAGCGTTGGGCACAAGTAGTAGAAAACAACGGCAACTATATTGTTGATTAAATTTTGTTGTATTGTTTAAATAAATTCGATTTAAAAAAAAAGGTATTAGAAAACGACATTAATTATTACTAGACCTAATATATAGGATAGCTCCCAGTAGATGCAATGATTTATCTTCCTTAGAAAAGACTTTACAGCAGGTCCTTATATAACATCATTTTGTGGTGTCATTTTGTTAGAATGCTGATATGAAAAAAAAAGTTTGATTCCCAGCAGGGGCTACGGTCTGTGTGAAGTTTGCATGTTCTCCCCATGTCTTTATGGGTTTCCTCCTGCACCCCAAAGATGTACACCTTAGGATGGATTGGGGTCTCCACACTGTCCCAGTCTGAGTTGGAGTGTGTGACTTGAATGGAAGGGTGTTTGTCCAAGGCTGGTTTCCACCATGTGCCCTGAGCTGCTGGCCACCTGTGACCCTGAACTGGAGCAAGCAGGTAGGAAAATAATCTTACTTGTTTTGGTCAATCTTTCTTAAATGTATGTATAGCTCACATTACTTCAAATTGTAATATTAGAAACGCTTTGGGGGTTTTTATTGAAAAGCTTTGGTGATGTTTTTGTGACCAGAAATATACTATAGGAACTGAGCTCTTGTGCTTATCAATTAGCCTACGGTAAAACTGGCTCCGTTATGCCTTGTTTTGCTTTAAATCCCTGTTTCCAAGAACCTTTCTCTGGTGTTAAGTGAGGACTTCCCGGATTCAGGATATGCAGTTGCTTCCCCGATGTCTGTCAGCACAGCCTCCCATGGGATCACCAAACCCCTAATGCTCTGCTTCCTTGCTTAGCTACAGTCGCATTCAATTCTGCCTTAAAAGCTGTCATTGCAACATAGAGTTTTCCAGGCCTGGAAGGGACGTTTAGTGACCTAGAAATCTTTCTGGGTGGTTACTCTAAAGTGTGGACCCACGCGGTTTGGAACCCGGAGGTGGTGGACCCTCATCCCGACTTCATTAAGGTGATATGCTTTGACATAAGATTGTGCCTGAGTAAGGTTTCGGCTGTGTAAAAACTGCAAAGCACAGGTGAGGAGGCAGTCTCACCTCTTCAGGTTCTGGAGAAGGAAACAGGATGGGAGAAGTGACATAAGGCAGGCTTCCCGGCCCCCCGCCTCCCTCCCGGCTGCTTTAGCCCTGCTCCTGCCCTAACAAAGGCCATGAGGAGTCAGGAGAAGTGGGAAGACAATTTCTGTATCCAAGGGTCCTCACCCCTTCCCTGAGCTGTGCCGGGCTTTCCCTCTTTCGCTGGGAGCCACGTCGTGACCCGCCGAGCTCCGGTGGTGTGATGAAGAGGCGGGATCTGAGATAGGGTACCACCGGCCCAGGGAGGAACCTGGGGGAGGCGAAGAGGGCAGCGAAGCCGGTCTCCAGCTGCGGGACAGGAGGCACCTGTGAACAGCTCCATTGGTGTGGCCTGGAGCGCGGGAGGGCGGGGATAGGGTTAAGGGTGCGGAGGCAAGTTGCAAAGGCCCTTTTCGGTCCGCTGCTGCCCTGCGCGCGGGGCTCCGCGCCCTCCCTCACTTGCGTGGGTCCAGCCCCAGGATTCCCCAGCTGTGCCTGTGTGTGTGTGTGCGCGCATGTGTGTTTGTGTGTGTGTGTGTGCCTGTGTGTGTGTGTGTGTGGTGGTGGTGGTGGTGGTGGAGGGTCCTGGGGTGCAGACGTGGGTGCCCACTCATCATTTCAAAGAAGACAGCCGTATTCTGCCGATGTGTTCGCACGACTCTCCTAGGGTTCACCGTGACTCTCCTTATTCAGGGGGGTAACCAGGCCCGGAGGGGAAGCCGGGCCAGAGGTCGGGGCTTCCCACCCATTGCGGGTCCCAGGGCGGCGTGCGCTCCGAAGCCCGGGCTGCAGCGCGCGGAGCAGGAATCCCACGTGCGGCGGCCGGAGGTCCCGCGGTCCCCGGGCCAAGCGGCTCCGGGTCCAACCCCGTCTCCTCTGCACGCGCCCCGCCCCGCCCCGCCCGGCGCTCGGGTGCGAGGGGCGGGGGGGAGGGTGCGGGGAGGGTTCCTGGGCCGGAGGCGGGGCCTCTTTGTTGTTGTTTCTCGGGGCCCCGCCCCTAAGGGGGGCGCGGACCACGCGGCCCGAAGACCCGTCCCCCTCCCTTCCCCCTCCCCGCCCGGCTCGCCGCCTCTTTGTATCCAACATCCGGGTTTCCCCGCTGGCTCGTCTCCGCGGCCGCGGCTCGGGAGCCATTTTGGACGCGGTTCAGCTCCCCTCCCCCCGCCCCTCCCCCCGTCCATGGCCCCTCCGGACTCGGCCCCTGCGCCCGGGGCCCGGGCCCAGCCCCGCCACGCCATGCCCGCGCCCGGCGCCCCCCGGCCCGCGCCCCGCCGCCGCCCCCCGGCCCCCGCGTCGCCCTCCCGGAGTCCGGGCCGCAGCCCGCGCCGCCCGCAGCGGCCCTGAGCCCGGCGCGCCGCCCGGCCCTCGGAGCCCGCCCGCCGCGCGGGACCAGGCGCAGGAGCCTCCGCGGGCAGCGAGGCCGCCGCCGGGAGCCGGAGCGGAGCGCGGCCGCCGCCGCCGGGCCCGTGCGCCCCGGGAGCGCCGCGCCGCCCTGCCCGCGGCTCCGGGCGTCCGCGGGGCGGCGCCGCGGAACATGACGGCGCCCTGGGCGGCCCTCGCCCTCCTCTGGGGATCGCTGTGCGCGGGTGAGAGCGGGCGCGGGGGCGCGGGGAGGGCGCGCCGTGTTTACCAACAAAGGGCGGCCGCGGCCTCCTCGCCGCGCCACCTGCACCGGGGCGGGGACTCGGGGCGCGCCGCGCACCCCGCTAGCTGATGTTGGGGGGACCGTGTTCTCTGTGCGGTGGGGGGTGGGGGGTGGTCCGAGATCCGGAGCCAAGGGTCGGGGTCCGGGTTCCGCCGGCGCGGGGAGCCTCGGGAGAGGAACACCAGAGCGTGGGAAGGGGGGCCAAGCGGGGCGGGCAGATCCGATCTGAGGGTGGCGGGGCTGCGGGTGCAGCGGCGGCTGTGGGAAGGGCCACGCGACCCTCGGGGCCGCTGGGCGCAGCGAACAGGGTTGCCGGGCACAGCTCGGAGCCCCCTGCACCCCATCCCGCCCCAAAGGCGGGCCTCTGGCGCCGGCTCCCACCTGCGCGAGGCGCAGCCACCCCGCGGGACCGCTTTGTTTTGGGCGCCGGGGAGGAAGGGGAGGAGAAGGGAGGGGAGTGGAGGGGAGGTGGGGCGCGAAGGAAAACCAACAGGTCCCCGTTCCTTCTGGCCTCGAGGCAGCACGTGGCGGGGGTGGGTGCCCCGCGCGGCCAGTTTGACTTGCGCGCGTGTGGCGGAGAGGGTGCGGGTTCTACTGGGAAAGCGATGGCACCGATTTCCCTCCTTTTAGCGTCGCCGGGGCTCGCCCGAACTGGCTGTGCGCGCAGGACCGGCTCCGCGCTCGGGGTGGCTCGGGGGAGCCCCGGGAAGCTGAGGAGTGCAGACGTGGGTGCATTGGAGCTCCGGGGAGAAGCTCGGGCCGTCGGGCGGCCGATGGGCCGCTGCCGGGGCGCCGGGCCCCTTCGCCTTTGTTCCCAGCCCCCATTGCACATGCGGCGCGGGCCCCTGGCCGCCGCGGTGGCCGCAGCGCGGAGCCTGGGAAACCCGCGGGGGGCGGGGCCGGGCGCAGGGGCGGGGCCGGGAACCCCGGGCCGCTGCGGGGGCGGGGTACGGGATCCCCGGCCCACCCTCCCTCTCTGTCAGACTCTCTTGGCGCTGCTTGACTTGGCTGTCTGCATCAGAGCGAGTGAGTGCTCTCTGCCGGGCTTGGTGCTCCCGAGCCGGAGGATAGAGACCTCCTCGTTGGTACCTGGGCCCTCCTCCTCCTCCTCCTCTTCCTCCTCCTCCTCCTCCTCCTTCTTTTTATAAATATATTTTATTGAATTTTTACAAGGAAGAGAGAGGAAGAGAGAGGGATAGAGTTAGAAACATCGATGAGAGAATCATCGATAAGCCGCCTTTTGCACACCCCCTACTGGGGATGTGCCTGCAACCAAGGTACATGCCCTTGACCGGAATCGAACCGGGACCCTTCAGTCCGCAGGCCGACACTCTATCCACTGAGCCATGCCAGTTTCGGCCTGGGCACTCTTCTCGAGGGGAGCATCATGACTCTTTTGGAGCAGCTTCCTGGGTGGTGGAGGCAAGGTATTGCTGTTGAACTTGTCCCCCTCTCTGCCCCTGCTCCCTTGTAAGTGCTGCCCTGAGATGCTTTTTCCCCAAGTAAAGGAAGGCATTATTGGCCTGTAGAGGGGAGAGCGGCAGCCAGCCGACTTAATAGGCACCAACAGCCGAAAACCGGTTTGGCTCAGTGGATAGAGCGTTGGCCTGCGGATTGAAAGGTCCCGGTTCGATTCCGGTCAAGGGCATGTACCTTGGTTGCGGGCACATCCCCAGGAGGGGGTGTGCAGGAGGCAGCTGATGGATGATTCTCTCTCATCGATGTTTCTAACTCTCTATCCTTCTCTCTTCCTCTCTATAAAGAATCAATAAAATTTAATAAATAAATAAAGTATTAAAAAAATAGGCACGAACAGCTCACCTGTCTATATTTTTAAAAGTATATATATTTTATTTAAAAAAATATATATATATATTATTGATTTTTACAGAGAGGAAGGGAGCGGGATAAGGAGTTAGAAACATCAATGAGAGAGAAACATCGATCAGCTGCCTCCTGCACACTCCCCACTGGGGATGTGCCGGCAACTAAGGCACATGCCTCTGACCAGAATCGAACCTGGGACCCCCGAGTCCGCAGGCTGACGCTCTATCCATTGAGCAAGCAAGACCTGGCAGTCCCTGGCCTCTGTGGTGCACTACTTTCGGGGTCTTTTTGGGCACGGAGATCCCCTTCCCCTGGCATCTCACCTAAGGAACTCGCTTTTCAGGGACACCCAGGAAGAGGGCCTCGTGCTGCACCGTGGTCCTTTGTACCATGGGCTCCTGGGAATCTGATGGGAGGCGTAGACCCTTTCCCCATTAAAATACTCGTGTGTATGTAGATGTGTACGCATGCATCCAAACATACATGCACCTCGCTGTTTTGCACCGATGCTGGGAAACTTTGGCTCCCTGGGTTGAACTCAGTGAAGGCACATACCCACTGTAGCAGTCCTGAGGGGCAGCGTACTGTCCTTGGGGGATACTGGACTGGTCCCCACCTTGCTGCTTCGATTTACCCTGTTCTGGCCACTGTACTTTTTCATTTTGTTCAGACTCTGCCCAATGTGCAGATTCCAGCCCCAGCCTTCTCCCTTCTCGCTGCTCTCCTCCTCCTCTTCCTCCTCCTCCTCCTCCTCCTCCTCCTCTTCCTTCTCCTCCTCCTCCTCCTCCTTCTCCTCCTCCTCCTCCTCCTTCTCCTCCTCCTCCTCCTCCTCCAGGAAGCCCTCCCCTAAGTGCCAATACATTTAGCTCCCTGCCTGGGAGCTCAGGGTAGTGCAAGTGGGAACCACAGGACCTCAGGTCGGAGTTTGGATCCACTTGCAGTTTCTGGCCTGTTACCGTAGCCTGGGACGTCTGGATAATGCTTACTCGAACGGCTGTGGGTAGACAGCCCTCAGGCAGGGTCCTGGCGGGATGGGCCTCATTCTGGAACAGGGTTTCTCAGCCCTGACACTGTTGACTTTTGAAGCTGATGACTCTTCGGAATGCATGGGGAGAGGGCTGCTCTCTGTGCAGCACCCCGGCCTCTACCAGTAACTGTTAGTAGCACTTCCAGTTAGTGACGACGGAAAGTGCCTCCAGGCATGGCCAAGGGTCTGGGCAGAGGGGATGCCAAACCGCCCCGATCTAGAATGTCCTCATGCTTTTAAAGAGACCCTTTTGGGAGATGGGGCTCCTGGCTCATGCCTCCCCAGCCCTGCCCCGTTGGATTCAGGCTAGGAGATTCGTGCCTGGCTAAACCTGCTCAGCGTGGGAGAGTCTGGTTGGAAAGGAGTGGTTCTGGAGCACCGCTGGCCGCCGGAGAGAATCCTGGCGTCCTTGAGTTTTCCCAGAGTGGTTCGGGTTTCAGGGAGGCGGTGGTTGTGGGTGGCCGGGCAGCCTGCCCGCCCGCGCCCGCCCACCCGCCTCTGACGGCCACCTTGAGGTTTGCACTCGTGCCTCTCCCTCCCACACGCACAGAATGTCAGCCAGGGCCCGTGGCCGGGGCCCGGGAGCCGCCGGCGCGGAGGCCGTGCGCGTGGGCCCCGAGGAGCGCCGGGGGCTGTAGCCGGCCGCTGGCATGCCCTTTCCCCCGGGCGGGCCCGCTGCCTGGCGCCCCGATGAGCCGCGGCGGCGGCTGTGGGCCTGGAGCTCCAAGCTGGGGGACGCCCGGGCCTGGGCCCAGCCTCCCCCTAAAGGTACGGGTACAGGTCTCGACCCTGGCCTCGGGGAGATAGGTGGAGGGCAGGGCCAGGCTTCCTCCTCTAGTCCCGGGAGGTGCGGATAGAGCTGCCCCTGACAGGTGCCCGCCCAGGGGTGAGGGCGCCTGTTTGTTGGGCTTGGCAGCTGGCAGCCCCTGTTTGCTTTCTACTCTTCCCGGCCCTGCTCCTGGCTTTGCCAGGAAGGGCTTTCTGGGGGGCTCTGCTGTGGTCTCAGCAAGACACAGCTGGCTGCCGCGCGGGAGCTGCTCTGGGCTGGGGATGGTGTCGGTGGAGGAAGCAGCCTCAGAGGCCTCCAGGTGCTCCGCATCCCCGGGGAGGGAAGGGCTTACTTAAAAGGGTTGTCTGCTGGGCTGCACTTCCTCGTTCCATCTCTTTTGGGGAGTTTCCAAAGGAGCCTGGCTGCCTCAGAATTTTATAATCTTCTATTTCTTCCCTCTCACTCTTATCACAAATTCTTCCAGAATAGACACCCTTCAGCGCGCCCCCCCCCCCCCCCCTTTACCCCCGTGTAGGGCTTCCTTTTGGGCCTTTTGGTTTGTCTTTGTCTGCCAGGCTTACCGGGGCATCCCAGCCTGAGTCTCGGTGCTTGTTCCAAAGGTCCTGGTGGTGGCACTTCAGGGTTGTGGGGTGGGGGTGGGGTGGGGTGGGGGTGGGGTGGGGGTGGGGATGGGGGTGGGGGTTGGGGTGGGAGAGAGGAGAGGCTCCTGCCTTCTGAGTCTTGGCTTTGTAAGTTTCTCAGTGATGAGTCTTCCTGTGAGACAATGGTGGGAACTTGAAATCAACTGATGGCTTAGGCCGGTGCTGTTGGGGACCACCCATGGGTCTCCCTGACCCCCAGATGAATCATGCTTCTCCCTTTGGCCACGTGCTTTGCCCTAGTTATGCCAGTCTTGCTCTGCACAGATAAGTGCCTTTTCCAGACCCTCTCAGGGGCTGGCGGCCCTCCACATGGGCGTTTTCATTCATGTGCACGCGGCCGCTGGGAGCTGGCGCGGGGACGGAGCCTGCTCCGCGGGGCAGTGTGCGTCCCTCCTCCCCAGCGGACCTCCTCCAGGGGCCTGGCTTGCGGTGCCGCGGGTCCCCTCTCAGCCGGTTTCCGGGCGGGAGGTGAGATGTGCTGTGCGGTGAGCTCATGCTCTTGTGTGCAAACGTTCCCCTGCCCACGATTTCAGTTCCCCTCTGACAAGCAGGGAGGCTAAAATTAGTTCTGGGGAAGGAAAAGGAAGGCTGGCTGGAAACCCAAGCTCTTGGCTGGCGGAGGGAGGAGGCCGAGCATTGCAGAAGATGTGATCAGG